AGGATGGATTTATCTCTAAGCATCACACCTAGAAACCAAATTTGGTGATAAAAATGATTTTTAGAGGTTTGCAGGATCGTCTAACAAAAAAATTTCAAAAAAACCTGCCTACAATCGAAGATTTTAAAAACCCCAGATGGCCCCAGATTACTTCTTCAGTCTTCTTGCTTGGTGGCTTATTTAACCATCATCTTGCTAAAGAAGTAAAGCAAATCTTAAATTGCCAAATTGTTGCGTAAATAGATCGTTAAATTAGTTAAATTATGTGGCAGAGCTAACCTCGTCCACAGCCGTTGTTAGCCGAGCTTCTATTCGGTTCTCTAACTCGCTCAACAAGTGGTCAAATATTCCTGTTAACTACTACCTCATATGTCCTCAACTCCAAAAATCCAAACAATCCTGTCAATACTTAAATACATTTTCAAGTCTGTGCAGCTGCAATCCTCCTCCATCAAACATGGATGTTTAATTACTCTTGACATACTTCACAGCAAAGAAAAGTCTTACATCTGTCAAAACAAAATTGAGCTTACAGTCCTGCGCCCTATTGTATGATCAGTTTGAATCGTATGTTAATATCTGTTTATTATTGTTTCATTTCTTTACTTTTTAAAATGTTCTTTTTGTTTATTCATGTTTTTATCTCCTTATAATCGTGTGTATTGCCATGAAATCAAAATTCAAGGTGGGCACGTTCCACCCCTGTCTGCGCCGCTGGATCTGCCCCTGCATGGTTAAGAATTAAGTTTTCATTTTTCAGCAATTGATGTGATTTACTTTTGTCTGTTTTATTTTTTATTAACTTTTAATGTTTTTTGTCCACTGTAGTTAAGGATTGCCTTTTTTTAATTCCTGGTCTTTTTTTTTAGTGATGGCTTAAAACTCTTACCTTGACTGGAGCAATCAAAAAAGGTTAATAACTCTGAACTCAATCAAACATGTTCATTTATGAGTTTATGAAGATATCATGCCGTATTAACTGTACGTGTTTTTACACACAGCTCGTAAACTTCTTTCCTGATCATAGACTGAAAAACCTACAAAGCAGCTAAAGATATTGTTCAAAATGAATACAAGAAGAAATCAGTTGTGATTTATAGGATTATTTCTAATTAGGATTACTATCACAGAAGGTGGAGGTTAAATTTCGGAATAGTATACATCGCTATGACATGCCGAAAACAGCCAATACTTTCATCCTCCGAACTATCACCGATCAGGTTGCCTCATTACGTGCCTTGATCTTTTATGCAGTGGGGCAAAAACACAAGCCTGCATGCGCTTTGATCTCTGGCATAAAAGCTCCCCAAGAACTGACAGTGTTTCAAGATGGAAATGGCGTTAGATAGAGCAGGTTAGACTAAAATATCGTTTGATACCTTGATGCATTATTGACTGTGAAACAAAAAGCAAAATATTGACCTCATCACATATTGAAAAGCGTGTGACCAAGTGTTTAGAGCAACAGGACGGTCTGAAACATCCTCCCTCTGAGTGTGAAATCATTTTAAGAGAACGTCCGACTTCTTTCACACATTATACAATTTGAAAGTGGCAAAATGTGTTCATCAAAAAGCTGTAGGAGGAATCCTTTAAGTGTGTGTTTTGCTGAGATTTGCTCCCCCTTCATCTTAGTTTTTACCGACTCGTGTTTGAACAGTTAAACATCAACACAAACGGTCCTCCGTTTGGGAGTTACAAATTCCTATGTGACTTCAAAAGCGCTGCCTTCATTTGTACCAACAAAGAACAGAATGTGATGATTCACTCTCGACTTTCTTTTTTTTTTTTTTTTTTTCCTTTTGGACATATTTTGGGTGATAAGCAGATCCCCTCTCCTCTCTCTCTAAAGGCCCATATGGCCATCAAAGACATGCTGCGTAAGAGGATACTTAACAAAAAAACACATCTATGAAACAGACTTTTGCTGCATATTTTTAGTGTCTTCATACTCACAGCAAACTGCCATTAATTGATTTTTTTTCTCTCTCTCTTTTTTGGTTTTCACAGCTTTGTTCTCGTGGTAGCTCGTGTTAGCAGTTGCCTGCTGACATTACATAGGTGGCACAGGTGTTGATAATCAAGGCTGATATTAAATATGCAGCGCTTAATTAACATGTTGGTTTTATTTGCTGACACCTGGGCTCCCACTGAAAATAAGAAAAAAAAAAAAAAAACAGATTCGTCAGGGAAATAAAGGCCCTGAAACGCTGAGGAGTGGGTACAGATCAGTGCAGAGGCAGATTTTAGCAAAGAGATAGAGTCACAGTAGTAGTCATCTCCATGTGCAGATTTTACATAGAAACCTACCTGCACTCAGGGGTCTAGATTTCATTATGGGAAGTGTTATAGTTTCCATTTGATCCAAGTGGCATTAGTAAATGAGAATATTTCAGCGTACAGCTATTGGTTTGTTCCAAATTGAAAAGCTGTTTATTGTGAAGTAGTTAGCGGCAGTAGCTTTGGAGGTAGAGCGGTTGTCCAACAACTGGAGGGTTGGCAGTTTGATTCCCCCCTATCCCTAGTCTGTCCGTTGTGTCCTTGGGCAAGACACTTTAACCACCTTGCTTATAGTGTGTGTCCTCCGCGGGTGTATAATTGTGAGGGATGTTTGGTGGTGGTTGGAGAGGCCATAGGCGTGGATTCGTAGCCATGTTTCTGTCAGTCTGCCCAGGGCAGCTGCGACTACTAAGGTAGTTTTCCACCACCAGGGTGTGACTGTGTGTGTGAGCGAATGAATGGTGTATCTATTGTAAAGCACTTTGAGGGTCACTGATAAATCGCTATATAAAAAATGTGATGCATTATTACATCGTTGTAGTAAGCCGGAGTGATTTACAGTGAAACTGAGACTCACCAGAAACAGATTAATAGACGCTACAAATTGGATGTAATGAATCAAGAATGGATGAATCTGCATCACAATGTAGCTTGAGCAAACTTAAGATTTGTTAAAAGCAAGTATAACATGAGAAAATCTTGTTCTTATGAGGGTCCACACCAAAGTGTTGTTACAGTGAATCTAAGACTTACCAGAAACAGATTAATAGACACTACAAATTGGATGTAATGAATCAAGAATTGAAAAATCTGCATCACAAGGAAGCTAAAGGAAACTTGATATTTGTTTATAGAAAGTATATCATGAGAAAATATTCTTCTTATGAGGGTCCACACCAAAGTAAATGTTACAGTGAAACTAAGACTCATCAGAAACAGATTAATAGACACTACAAATTGGATGTAATGAATCAAGAATGGACAAATCTGCATCACAATGTAGCTTAAGCAAACTTGATCTTTGTTTATAGCAAGAATATCATGAGAAAATCTTGTTCTTATAAGGATCCACGCCAAAGTAAATATTTACAGTGAATCTGAGACAGAAAAAAGATGCACCTAAATTGTTGGATTAGCTGTTGGATTTTGGCTTTTTCTGCTCACACAGTGTATCAGAAGGGCTGGATTTCACTTTGCATGCATTCATACTTGTTAATAAGTATTTGATTTAATTTAGACAACTCCTAGCCTCCAAACATGGCCGTGACATGAGCGAGACACGACTTAGGGGCATTGGAGAGTATTTCTTGGAAATTACGTCATTTCAATTTTCTCAGTAGATCCCTCCGTGGTGTCACTATTTAACGAGTTCCTGCCCTGAGGCAACAAACTGAATCATCAATTAAACTCTCAATCTCGAGCAACCTCTGACATCCCTCATGCGACCTCCCAGACAGTGATGCTGATGACCCGCTGCCAGGAGCTGCACTTTGCCATGACATAATCAGCTTAGCTTCGCTTATATTTTGAAAAAAACTGAAAGCACTGTGAACGTAATGGAAGATGAAGCACTTTCACTGACTCTGCTTGGGGAAAAACATGAATTAATTCGGACGATTCACAGCGTGTGCTTATCTCTACGTCTGCATTATACATAGATAATTGTAGTGTATGGCTCCACTGTATTATATAGTAAAACATTAATACGGCTCAATCAACACCGTACTGCTCTAGATTCTGAAGTACACACAGTGTGTCTTTAATTGTTTACCCACTTCCCTCCCTGGTTTGTTTGAATATGCATGCAGAGGAAGAGCACATGTACTCCCAAGGATGTATACTGTTTGAGAGTTTGCATCCAAACAGAACTGGCTTAAACTGGATGACGCTCAAAGAGGAGTTAACCTCGTTTTCTGCCTTGATCTGATTCAAAGCATTTTGAAAGAAGGTGAAGATTTAGAAACTTTTGCGGGCTCCAACAGTGCAATCCTTGTCCACTGTCAGTGCTTGCTGGAGTTCATCAGGCTTTCCCCTTGAGAATAAAGTCCAAAGTACTACTTTTTTAACTTCAAACCCCTGTGCCGAAATAATGCTTTTTCCATGTTTAGTCCTTCATCCAGTCATTGGGCTGTAAAACCCGGCATACTCTCTGGACTAACATCAGAAGTCCATATGTCCATGGTCAAACTTCTGTCACCAGAGTTGTTGTGGACCAGACTGTGAATATCTGTGGAGATCACAACATCATCTGCTGCAAAGTAGTGGTGATTGAGGATGCCATTCTAAGTGCACCATCAGCTGGCAAAACCCTTGGTATTTAACTCAGCCAAAGGTTTGTCATGAAATGTTGCAAATTTGGTGATTAATAATTGCAGCTTTCAGACACCTGTTGATTTATCATTATGACGTTCGCAGTTTATTGGCACCAATGGCAGTTTCAGCTTCCATTGCTTTGAATTTCAAGAAAGTGACAAAGACTGTTTGAGTCAACTGTTTCCATTTCTTTCTCTTTCTTTCTTTCTTTCTTTCTTACTCCCCTACTTCTTTCTTTCTTTCCTTCTCTACTTTTTTCTTCTTTCCTTTCTTTTCTGTCTTCCTTTCTTCCTCCTTCCTTCCTTCCTTTCATCTTTCCCTTCTTTCTGTATGTCTGTCTTTCTTTCTATCTTCCTTTTTTTCTGTCTTGCTTCCCTACTTCTTTCTTTAATTATTTTTTTATTTTTTTATTTCTTTCCTTCCTTGCTAGTTTCCTTCCTTCCTTCCCTACTTCTCTTTTTTTCTTCCTTCCTTCCTTCTCTACTTCTCTTTCTTTCTTTTCTTCCTTCCTTCCCTTCTTCCTCCTTCCTTCCCTACTTCTTTCTTTCCTCTTTCTTTCCATCTCCTCTACTTCTTTGTTTCTTCTGTCCTTTCTTTTTCTGTCTTCCTCCTTCCTACCTTTTTTTCCTTCCCTACTTCTTTCTTCCTTCCATCCTTCCCTTCTTTTTGTATGTCTGATTCTCTTTCTGTCTTTCTTTTTCTTTTTTCCTTCCTTCCTTCCTTCCTTCCTTCTTTCTTTCTTTCTTTTCTGTCTTTCCTTACTTCCTTACTTCTTTGTCTCTTCTTTCTTTTTCCCTCCTTTCTTTCCTTCCTTCCCTGCCTTCAGTTATTCCTTTTTCTTTCTTTCTTTCTTTCTTTCTTGCTGTAGTTGAAATAAGGTGCAACACTGACCAATGCTTGAATTAGTAAGACCTTTCCTTCCTTCCTTCCTTTCTTCTGTCCTTTCTTCCTTCTTCCTTCTTTCCCTCCTTTCTCTCTTTCCCGCTTCTTTGCTGTAGTTGAAATAAGGTGCAACACTGACAATGCTTGAATTAGTAAGAGCTTTTTTCCTTTCTTCCCTATCCTCAGTCCTTCTTTCCTTCTTTACTTCCTTCCTTTCTCTCTGTCTGTCTTTCCTGCTTCTTTGCTGTAGATGAAATAAGGTGCAACACTGACAATGCTTGAATTAGTAAGAGCTTTTTTCCTTTCTTCCCTATCCTCAGTCCTTCTTTCCTTCTTTACTTCCTTTCTTTCTTTCTGTCTTTCCCGCTTCTTTGCTGTAGTTGAAATAAGGTGCAACACTGACGATGCTTTCAGTAGTAAGACCTTTCTTTCTGAAATGACTGACATGTTAAAGCACACAAGGTTGAATTGGTTTAAGAGCTTCTCACTTCAGTATTCTGTGCCTGACATGTATGCCTTTGTGGGTCTTCAAATCCCTCTTACTCACATCTGCTTTTCAGCTAAAACCAATGTTTCTTGGCCTGGTTGTGCAATATGGTGAGTCAAATGGAAAATCCGACCCAGAACATAATTTGCATATTATTTTCTTGTTTGAACATGAACCAGAATACAGTTTCCTTCTTTCTGCCAGCGACAACAGGTACCGCTGAGGCAAACCTTGCAGGTGTTTCATTGATGGGGAATCAAAATCAACATGGCTTTGTGAAAACAAAAAAAAAATTTGTCCTCAAAACTGTTTATTTTCAGACGCGCTTTATGTGGACGAGTGTTTGTGATGACAACACAGAGGAGTGTATTTCATCCATACGGACTGATTGAGCAGTCTGTGATCAGAGTCAGTTTTATTTTAGGGTGGATTTTCTCCATGAAGCAGAATCCTTTGAACTACACTCTGGGAAAAATATCCATTTCTTTATTGTAAAATAATCCAACAGCCTTCAAAACAGGTTAACACTGCCCCTCTGATCGTAGCGACTTGTGAAGAGCGTCTGCCACCAAAGGTATGAGAGGACATTTGGGTCACAGACTGAATGACAAACCAATAAAAACAATATCGAGGGAATAAGTATGGCAATGTTAAGAACAATGAGAACAACAACGCAACAACTGCTTCCCTAAATTAAAGGCATGAAACAAAATGAAAACAATGGATTAAACAGAATCAATTCATGTCATATTTCCAGAAAACAGAGGCTCATACTCAACTGGAAAAAAGCTGTAAAGCAATGAAGTCATTCCCTTCACTGCTTCCACCAAAGTGCAACTCATCCAACATCAGATTAGTACGTTTAAATCCAGCACCCTCTAAGTTAAAACATGTGTAGCTGTATGACCCTGTGATGATATAACAAGCTTTCGTGCACTTCAGCACTTTTTAGGAGTTGCTACATGACTTTGATTGTTTTTTTTCTTTTTTGGAGACCATGATGTTTTATAAATATTCAGTGTTGAGAGATTTAACCTTGATTTCAGTTGAGGCATACGAAACACTCCAGCCCTAAATTATTCAATTTTGGATGTTTTTTATTGTACGGATACAAAACCGTCTGGAACTTTCAACATGCATAAATAGTTGTGAATAAACCACTCCATAGTTGAATGCCATTAATGTAACCTTAGTGCAGGAAGAATTTCCTGTTGATGCCTCAGTCACCAATTATTCAAAATCAAGAAATTCTGATGAAAACCTTGTCTTAATAATTGTGTACACCTTTAACTTTAAAGATGGATGACATGCCTCTCATCCAGTTGAACAAAAGGGAAGCCAAAATACCCATTGTTATACTGCCTCCCCAGGTAACCATAACAGACATTTAAAAAAAAAAAAAAATACTTATAACAAGGGATGTCCCGATCCGATATTGATATCTGTCCGATATCAGCAAAAAAACAAATATCGGATTATATCAGCCTGTATCTAAAATCTCTGATATCAGCACTCCGATACAAGTAGTCCATTCAAGCGCTCGGATACAGCATGTAGAGTCCACGTAATTACAACATTAGTTTGTACTAAGGTACTATCAAAGTAACAAGGAGTCGCAGTGATGTTGGCCATGTAGCAGTATTTTTCGTTAAAGTCGGAAAAAGACATTGCAGCTGAGTGCAAAACTTGTAATGCACAATTTTGTGCAAATATCGGATCAATATCGGTATGGGCCAATACTGAAGCCAACAATATTGGTATCGTATTGGGAGTAAACATGCTGTATCGGAACACCCCTACTCCAAACCAGGGATACACATATACAGTAGTTAGTACATTTGTCCTCGTTCACTGATATATTTTGTGCATCTATATTAAAAGTAACTTCATTTACTCTTGTGAATATTTCTGACTGTTTCAGCCAGCTCAGGTTTATTGGTTGGGGTCAACCAGGCTTAGCTTTTTGGTTTAAGCCACAAAGAAGATGGTGATAGTCACAAAGAAAGCAACATAGAGCATAAATGAAAGATCAAACGTGAACACTGGTCTGACGTGTCAAGGCCACTTACTTCATAATTTTAACGACCAATCCCAACTTCCACTGAGAGGAACTACAGAGATGTCACGCCAGAGATGTCACCCCCCCTGAGGTCTGGTACCAGACAAAGCAGCAACTCTTAAAACATTTACAAGTTATTTCTGAAGAAGCACATAAATCTGCGTGTTATGCAGATGTTTGAATATATTCATAAAGCTGCTAAATAAAGCTGTCGTTTTTTTCTGGTGAGAAAAGTTTCTGCTTGCTTTCATGAGTACATGCTGTGGTAGATTCTTGCCTCCAGTGACCCTCGCATGAATTAACTCGTCAAGGTAATAAATAAATGATCAAGTATGCAGTCTAGTACCAATCAACCTTCATTGGTGTGCATTCAAAGACTCCAACCCATCTCTTATTGGTTTAAGCACAGGCAGGCATTAAACCCCCCCTGTCCTTTGCTTTACAGCGCCTTAATATTAATGCTTCTCCTGCTCATCCCAAATATTACCAGTTTCTTTTAATGCTGTCTGGCCTTTTGAAGATAACTCTACCTTTAAGGGACCAGGTGTATCTATCAATTCACATCAAAGTGCGGATGCCGGAGACATTCGCGTACCTAGCCCGTCAATAACCGGAGAAAATTTGTCAATTTCTGATCATCATTATCTGCTCGGTCTTTGTTCTATGGGCAAATGTGCCTGAAATGCTTCAAAGGCATGTTAATCAAGCCCTGTGTGAAGATGCCAGGAGACCAATTACACTTGTGAGCTGCACTTCAGCTTTCTCATTTCCCCTGAATCCTGCTGCTCAAACATGGTTATAGCCCAGATTTCTTTTCCAAACCAATGAAATAGTTGACCTTGACAAAGAGCAGAATGCAGAGAGGAATTGGTTACATGGAAACAGCAAGGGAGTACTTCAACTTTTTTTCTCCCCCTCCTCCTGTGGGAAGCAGCAGCATCCATTGTGCACCAACTTCAGTGCACTGCTGTGTTTTTTCATGCGCACAGGATAAAGAGGCTGAAGGCTTTCATCAATGTGGCTGTATATTGAATTCACAGAACATTGTAAGGGCGACATAAAGCACTTAATCATATTTTAAATGATTTAACCTGAACTTCATAATACTTAACAGCGATATGTGAAGGTCCAAGTGTGTGATTCAGCCTCCGGGGTATGAACAGGGAGCATTTTTCTTTACTTTCATAACTGCCCAAGGTCACTTTCATCATCAAGCATCATAACTCTGCCATCTGAGATGTTGAGGCGAAAAGCCAACCTTCCTTCGAAGGTGGAGTTTGTAGAGAACAGATGTGGGTTGAACAAAGTGCTTTCCATCCCTCCAGCTGTTCTCATTTCGCTGTAGGGTGGACTGAAAAAAAAAGAGGAATCTGTCACCAATGGACGCTCCGTTCGAGTCGGCTTTACGAAGCCACAGCCTTGTCCTAATCATCGTCTGTCTATCCATCTGCAGCGAGATTGATATGCCTTCGCTTGTCTTGAAAAGGCCCAGCATGCCCCTCGTGCCAGATAGCCAGTGAGGGCCTGTCTTTGCTCGGCTGGCATCGTGCTCTGTTCACACCAGGACAAACTTGATTTGACCAGAGGGAGGCTCTTGTGATTGATGATTCCACCACATATCTTCAGCCACAGCAATCTGGCAGGGCTTTACTGCTGTGCGAAAAGTGTGTGTGTGTGTGTGTGTGTGTGTGTGTGTGTGTGTGTGTGTGTGTGTGTGTGTGTGTGTGTGTCTGTGTGTGTGTGTTGGGGGGGCTGCCTGATTGTGACAGTGAATAAAAATTGGTGAATACCATTGTGCAGATGTTGTGACAGTATTTTGTCCTTCCAGATACCAATTTCAGTAATCAGGCTTGAGTATTGGCCAAATGGGCTTTCAGCAAGTGAATGCTCAGCTAGGTTACACTCAGTTTTGGCTGTTTTCTACCATCATACTAGTTGTAATTTTAGTTTCCATTTAATCCACTTGGGAATTATTCACTTAGAAACATCCCTGCACTATGATTTCACATTCTGGGTTGTATCTGAGGGTGTATTTTTTGTAATTTATTACCTCAATCCGTATTTATTATGGCATGTGCTGTTGACCTCTTGGCCAGGTCACCATTTGTAAATGACATCCTGATCTCAATGGGACTTGCCTGGTTCAATAAAGATAAATAAATGTCCCAGTGATAAAGACTTGAAACTATAGATGGAAGGTTTCACAGTAGGCGGCAGAAGTTCATGAGGTAGAGCAGTCGGCCAATAACTGACGGTTCAAGTTCCATCCTATCCCTAGTCTGTCTGTTGTGTCCTTTGGCAAGACACTTAACCCACCTTGCTCCCAGTGTGTGTGTCCACCACTGGTGTATGATTGTGAGTGTTGTGCGGTGGTGGTCAGAGAGGCTTTAGGCGCAAACTGGCCGCCATGTTTCCATCAGTCTGCCCCGGGGCAGCTGTGACTACTAAGGTAGTTCAACACCACCAAGGTGTGACTGTGTGAGCGAATGAATGATGTATCCAATGTCAATCGCTTTGAGGGTCACTGACAAAAAGCGCTATAAAATCTGATGCATCATCATTATTATTATTATTATTATTATTAGTATTATTTATGCTAAAGGGGAAGCTAAGTGGATGCTAACAGCCAACCCTTGATGCTTTCTGTTCAGGCATAACTTCTAGGTTGTTTTGTAACTGTACAACTGTGTAAAAAGTAACACCCACAAGCTGTGTCTAACATTATACCATTGGAGAAGTGGCTAAAACAATGAGGGTGGTCTAGACCTGCTCTTTTTTTGGAAAGCATCTTGGGATAACAACTATTGTGATCTGGCGCTATATAAATAAAATTTGATTGATTGATTGAAACAAGCAGTGTTATTTTGTTTGGTATGCTAGCATGATAAATGATCTAAACCAGATAATTTGGCTAAAGTATGAGACTGGATTCCTAGTGGAACCACATAATGTTGTTTTTTTCTGAAACCGATACTATATCGTACCAGGAACAAAAATCCAGTCAAAATACAAGAGTGTGGACATTGGAGACAGTTTAAATGTATTTGCAGGCATCTAAGTTTACAAGCATTCAACCCTGAGAGGTCCACATCCATAGCAGCTCCTGTTGTTTGCTTGCTGTCTGTGTTGCAACATTTCCCAAGCATGTCACAAGCTGACACTTCTCTATCCAGCTCAAAATGCCAACAGGCTTACCAACATACCCACAGGTTTCCTCAACTGTGGCAGTAATCAGCGCTGGGAAAGTGCCATGCGAGTCCACGCATCGACGCTTGGGTCATAAGCTTTTTCCACACTGCTTATTTCGTCTTGTACTACTTCTTTTTTTTCTCTTTTCTTTCAAATGTCAGCTCCCATCATGTTCATCTCCCATGGTGTCCCTCCGGCTAACAAACACCAAGGCACCAGTGTTCCATCATTACTGCACTACGGTGCAGATCAATTCCTGCTCTTCATGGGGAGGTTTAGGATTACAAGTCGATGAAAGATAGATGAACTGAATGCTGGCATACAGGTATGAGGGAAATGATATTAACGTCTGATGGAAAAAGCTGTGACGTGAGGTGATGTGACTTGTAATTGGATTAAAAAAAAAGGGTGAAAGGTGGGATCAAAGGTGGGATGAGTGTCAATTAACAACTTTCTCTACCTACAAAGGTCAAATAACCCTGGGTGAAGACTTGGTATGTGGGCTTTTTGGAGCAACTTTAGTCCTAATTATCTGTGCCATCATCACTGGTACGCTGGTTACATAATATGTCAAGAAAATAGAAAAAAATCACGACAACATTTGCCCTAGATGCTGACAAACTGCAACAACAAAGAGTGATGGTATTACAAAGCTGAAACCCTCAGGAATCTAATGGACAGCTACAGTCTAAATTAGGGGTGACAAATACATCTAATTGATATGCAGCCTTTCATGACCCACGTTTGCAGAATATCTCCCAGTGATTTTGATTTTGATTTTTTTTTTTTTTTGGGAACCCCTTTTGTATCTTCTCCTGTGTAGATATGCACACACACACGGGCACACAAACACCCACGCAGCCCCAGCCTTAATGACATAAACGGCTTGTAATGGTGATGATACGGAGCTGGAGGGAGAAATAAATCACTGATGTAATGTTTCCGGTGAGAGTGAAGCCAATGCGAAGGGCTCCATCTACTGTTCGCTCGTGTGGACTTCACTTGGTGTGTGCTCTGACAAACCCTCCAGCTGACTCACTTCAGCTCCTCGCCTGTAAATGAAAAGGGACAGCCAGACTCCGCAATGAGGCTAAGGCAGTATAATTCATGCCTGTGAATTATGGATATACCGAATAAGTGAAGGCCAATGTATGTTTTATTCCACGCTCCCCTCCATTTATTCCGGCTGGGGTTATGACTTGATATCTGGTGGTTCTATTGATGATGGACTTCCTGATTTATCTGCATGAGTCAGGCAGGACCATCAATTAGGGCGCCACGCCAGCAAAGACATGCCGAATGTACTGTCACCTGTTGTTTATGACCAACTTGACTGTGGCTCCCTCCGAAATGGGGCGGTTCTCCCACTGGGATTACTCCCAGACAGGAGGCAGTAAAACAACGTGCATTACCCCGCTGCAATTTGCATAGCCACTAAACTGGCAGTATCTCTTTTCAAGCTTCATTAAAGCATCTACTTCTTTTTATCCGCCGATCCAAATAACTGTAGGCAAACGTATACGTAGCATTGTTTTTATAACCTTATCAACGATGGGAACATATTATTCCTCATATCATAGATGGACTGAGATGTATATACTATCCATTCCCCTGGAAGCCATCTGCAGCTATCTCCTTCCTCTTTCATCATTATAAATGCGCCTAAATGGTTTGAATGGAGGCGGGTGTAGCTGCAATAACCGCACCTTGGTGTCAGGAGGGGGAATCTGGAATCTTTGATGCTTTCCCTGGCCTGAAATGTATTTACAAATACCTTCGAGGGAGCAAATAAAGGGTTTAATATTTAATTAGACCTAAGGGCATCTCACAATAACCGGTGCTTTTCTGATCAATGGACTGATGGAAAGATCTCTCCTCGCTGTCAGCCTCGCTTCCTCCTTTAAATACTACAGTCACCTACGCACAGACAGCACTTAAGGGTTCATCATTAAGCATTTACAAGCAGCCAGAGACACACCGGGTTCATGTTTGTGAACATTTTTATCTCAGGCCCTCTGACACCAGATGATTTTAATGAAAGATGAATGACAGATCAGGATGAAAAATGTATTCTGCTCTCTTTTTGTCCCAACACTGATCTAAGTTTTATGATCCACACGAGAGACTGTGACATGTCATAGAGCACTGTGTCGCTGAATTATATAACCCAGAGTCTAAGCAGCTGAACTCTGAGTGACTTTTTTTATCAACTACTATAACTACTGAGTGAGTTTTTACTTGATCATAAATGCTTTCGTCATCTAACTAATTTTAATGAAACACAAAGACATCACCTTCCTCTGTCTATTTTTTAGAGTGTTAGGACGAATGAGTTGCAGAAAAGTGTAATTTTGGTGCATTTCAGAGAGTTGAAAGCTTTAACATGTAAACACATTAATCTGACTGAATTAGCATTTTTCTGTCGTCACACTAAAGCCGAAAACATACAGGATCCGTATTCAGCGCATTCTGTAATTGTTCCGTAGAGAAGCATTGGGTATCGCATACAGGATGCGTCTTTGGAGCGTGGCGGCAGCGCAGTGCCGCCCCGGTCAGCTGGGCTCGGTCTAGAGGAAACAAAATGCGCAACGTGATTTTACAGTTTCGGTTTTTGCAGGTTTGCTTGTGTTTAATAAAGTAAATTGTGTTCCTTTATGCTGTGCTGTTACCTTCAGACAAAGTTAGCTGTTTAAAGACCTGTTGTGGTCTACATGGATCAGGGATTGACCATCGGATTGTTCTGTGTTACTGATAAATCCATAACCAGGAAGTATTTTTCATCTACATGAACTGATACACAGTCGGGAGTGTTTTATATAGAAATACCTATATAATGATGTGTGTTTTCCTTCCTGTCTAGGATGATCTTCTCTGTGTGGATTGATGCACATTGAAAGCATAGAGCAGCAAAATTAGACTCAACACGCATCTCTAGCAGTGCTGCTCTCAATATGATGCTGCAACGGAGCTGATACGTGTCCTGTATGCTTTGCTGCATTGATTAGAATGGCATCCTATTTGCTGCGTGATACGCGACGCTGCTGCCACACTCAAAATACACATCCTGTATGTTTTAGCCTTAACATAGCCAGAAAATACAGTTGGGGATCAATTTTCTCCTCCATGTAAACGTCTTGGTTAGACTGAAAGTGGCCTAATTTGCTTTGAGCATGCTGGCGTGTTCATGGTTTTGGATTGAATGCATTGCAACGTAGCCAGGTAGTAAACAAATCCTCAACAAATGAAGAAAAGAGGTAAAACAGATGAAATTTTGGTATCGTATAGAAAAACAGAGCTGTAAAAAGTGAAAGTACTTTCATCGTTTGATGGACGTTGTGTTCTTCTTGCTAATGCGTCTGGTCTATTTGGTTAACCAGAAGATGACCTGATAGTTACGAGCTGAAAGGCATGTAATAAAGGAGTACTGACAGACAAAGAAAACAGTTTTCTACATTCCCCAGCAGACAAAGAAGACTGAAGCGCTGTGGTTCTGACTATGAAGGTCGAGTGACCCCTTCGATGCTAATGAAGTAGATAAATAGCTATTCGCATCGTAGATGAGGAGATGTTGTTGAAAGTGCAGCCTCCCATGTAGACAGTAAAGTGAGATTGAGTAGTTGACAATGAGTTGTTAATGTATGAGTCTGATCACTGTTATTCTTATCAGTCTAATAATAGATACATACATAGTTTATCAGGTTTCTAACCATCTGTAAAGTAATGTCCCTTGACATCGAATGCTTATCTATATTCATACCAATCTACAGACAGCAGTCACATTTGTAAGAGGCATTGAGGTGTGGAGTATTTTTGGCTAGCATGGCGAAAGTTTAAGGCTCAAAAACTTGACACTCATTCGCCCTTTACTTTAGTTGTGACTAAAATAAACTTGCTTTTGCAAAACATATGAGATACTGATTTAAAATCTCATGAATTATATGTATAAATGTGCAATAAATCTAGTTGCAAAAGTCATAAATCTGGTCAAAACACGGACATCCAATGTCCAAACAAAACCCTGTATCCTGTGCTGCAATTTTGCAGAAGAAGCTGTGTATTTTTTTCCAAATGCAGTATTGATCGAACAGCTTTAGTGCCATGATAATGTCTCGTAAATGACCCGTGGCCTTGCAACTGTTTTCGAAAGGTCTCCACTGTCATTTTCTCTGGGTATTCAGAAAGTCGTGGTAATTTTTCGGCAATGTGATTTCGGAGCATAACAGCTAATATCAGAGCAGTGCTGTTGACTAAACCTCACTGTTGTGTAAATTAGCACACCTGCTAAAGCCTTAATTGTAGGGCTATCAAAACACATAAAGCTTAACAACAGCTTTCAGATCCTCGTGACAGCTGTCGCGGAGTCAACACACTTAAGTCTGCTTTCCCTGCTGCTAGATTCTCCTGTGAAACTTTCTGAGAGCTGGGGGTGCAAAAAAAAAAAAAAACGGCAGCATGTCACATTTTCATTCCCTATGACAGCATGAAACCTTTTCGTTCTTTAGTGGTAATCGGGGAGATCCAGTCTGTTCTTTTCAGCCAGATAACAATGGGGGAACGCGGGCGCTCTCTGCTTTGGAGACTTTTTGTTTCGCTGCCTCTGAAAGCACGTCAGAGAGCGTCGATGCCTCAGAGACAAGGCACAAAACATATAAATGCCCAATTATAGATGCTTCAAAAGCAGATGCATTAAAAAATTAATAATGGGGGGTGCATTACATAATTCATAACAGTTGGTTATGTAAGCGGCCCAAATTTGAAGAACAGGAAGGGTATTGTCTCCGACTCTAATGGCTGTGGGTGTGCCTGCGTGTGTGTTTGTGCTATTGTGGACTCTTGCGTACATCGCCACGTGTTCGCGTAGCTGGCATGTGCGCTTAATTGGACGTGACTCTTCTGTCAGCATGGAGATTTCTCTAAAAGGGATACGGGAAATGAGTACAAGACATTGTTGAAGGCAGTTAACACTCTCTATAATAAAGTCCAGGTAGTTCCTGCATCAAGGGGCATTCAGTCTCGGAGAAGACTCGCAGCTTTTTTCTGCTTCAGCCTTGTTTTTCAGAGTTAAGGCTGCTCTTTCTCATGTATAAATAGAAAAGGTATTTCTCAGTATTTCACTGAGAACTGCACTTCGGAGAAAGGGAACCAGAGATGGAAAAGGTTTTAAAATTACCAGCCAATTTTATGTCCTGAGTTTGGTAGAGACGCCAGCTCTCTTTCTCCTCTGTGAAATCTGTCAATGTTTAAACACATCCTCTCTTTCACTAGATCAAATCTGAATAGCTGATCAAATCATTTTCATATGTTGGTTTGAGACACCTATAGAGTTAGTTTGTATGATTTGAAACTACAAACAGCTTGTGGGTGTTACTTTTCACACAGCTTTGTAGTCATAAACCAACCGTAAAGTCATACCTTTGTAGAGTCGGCCCGAGTCTAACTGTTAGCGCCCACTTAGCTCTCCATTTAGTACTGTATGCAATTGTTGCTTTGCCTACTGTTATATTAACCTTTGGTGGTTAGCTGCATAGAGATTGAAAAAAACATTGATAGCGTATTCACCTTTCTCTTGTTGATGATTTCAGGTGACCACAGCTCTGGAATTCCTCAAGACAGCAGGGATCGTTCACACTAACGTGAAGCCACTCGACATTACAATGGTCGACCACATATGAAAGCCATCAAAGGTCAAGGTAAGTGACTTTGTCTTGGCCATGAACAACCCTGCTGCTCACTCCAGCACAAGGACAAGTAACTAAGGATTTGTCTGTAAAGTGTACATTGGTGGACAGTATGAAGTGGTTCAGTTCTTGCTTGGCCTTTATAGAAACTGTATTTGTATATCTGTGTGTCTCAGAGCTCCAAAGATCGATGTTTGGTCTCTGGGAATCACTGCAGCTGAAAATGCTGATGGGGACTGCTTTGCACCATTGTCATATGCAGCTTTTGCAATTGTGGCCCTCCTGGGATGCACGCCTTTCTGCAGAAGTTAGAAAAAGAAAACTTTTAGGGATTGGACTTTTTTAATTTTTTGTTCTTTTGTTATGTAAATGACTGCAGGACAAAGAATTTTGTCTTTTGCCTATGGGAAATATTCTCAATCTTGACCCTGGATGTATTCCACATTTAGTCTCTGGATTCTTTCTAATATTTGTTTCAACGGTTAAAGAAATGAAGAGCACTTCAATTTTTTCCCAAATCACACTCTATGAATTTTGATCAATTTTAAATAAACTCAGGACAGGTAAGGTTAGTTGGGATTTAATGCCAGTTCATGAACCAGCAAACTATTAAAAACCTCCTGTAGTCCACGGGCCAGAGGCCAAAATTCCACTTTGTGGTACCACTCAAAGTGGCAAAGCTTTTTGGCAGCTGTGTCATAGTTATCAGCTCATGAAGGAAACCAGCCCCTGGTGAAAACTGCAGTTCAGACGCTGGTGTGTCTCCTTGTTCCTTAAGTTTTGTCTCCTCAGCATCACACTGTGATAAGTATCAGGACTCTAAAAAGACAAGATGTGGTATCCGCTTTCAAAACAGCATTATGCTGCCAATCCTTGGCTATATTAAAGAGTTGGTTAGACTCTATACTTCCTTTCTCATATCTCTTTAATAGCTTTAATTATTTTTTAGATTAAAAAAAACCCCTTGTGTTTCTCACGCTGGTGTATTAAAATGCCATCACTTCAGTCTTCGTCTTCAATGCTTGGTTTTAGCTGCTGTCTCTTTAAGTACACGCTCTCTGATTGGCCATCAAGCTGAGGTCAGGACTTGATGTCTTGGAACCATAGACTGTATATAAAATGGACATCATCTGCCTCCTCGCTGGGTGAAGCCACCCCGAGAACAGCACCCTCTGGTGACAAGCTGTAGTATAGGTCATAAACCCCGCCTCCTCCAACAATCCCTATGGAGCTGTGGACAAACTTTAAATATTAATTACACAGAACATACATTTTTCTCCTCCTTGGTTGTGATGTTGACATGTAGTTACTGTAAGACTGGTTTGTGCTGAAGTCCTCTTTTTTCTGTGCAGCTCCATTTTCAAAAGTTATTAGGGGGTTCATGTTTTCTATGATTGACACTTAAAGATGGGGTAGGCAGGAATCTGTTAAAGAAGCATTTTTTTTTTTTTTGTGGTGTATAAACAAAAAAGCTTTTTATATAAGTCCATAGCTATTAGTTATTGATGACATTTGGTAATATATTGCTGTGTTCTGTTATGTCTGTGTAGTCAACATTTTACATTTTTGAGCGACCCACTCCTTCTGACTGCAAACAAAGCTGTTCGCCCAACCTCCCCCAACCTGATTGGTTGTGAGGCAGACGCTGCTATCCCGTGTCGTTCACGAGCCCAAACAAAGTTAGCGTGCCACAATATCGGACAGTAGAAACCAACCAGAGAGTACAGAAAATATTCTGAATCCTCCTTTGGCTACGACTGCCGACATAAACAAGAAAACGGACTAAATACCAGAGACTCTAGTGGAATAACGGGCGCTTAAAATGGAGGTAGACCGGACAAGAGCTAAAAAGCCGGGTCAACATCAGCATAAATGATGGGGGACGCTTCGGGATCTTGCAGACCCTGTAACATTTCTGCTTGACAGGTAAATCGCTTTAACAAAATAAGCCAAGTGTCTGTAACAGAAGTGTTTCTTGTCAAACGGGACCTGCTGTGTGTTGTAGTGCCGCTAAACTGTTGACCTCGGTCCTGGACTATGTCACTTTATCCTAGTTGTAGAAGTCCTGCAAACATTGTGTTTGCTGGTTGTCTGTTGGCATCTATAGTAGCACCAGTGCTGTTTACTTTCACGTTGACTGGGCCCCATTTGTAATTATCTGAAGTATTTATCTGCATTATATCTGAATTTAATTAGAGTGATACAAGCGAGCAGGAGTGTCTGTTTGTGGGCAGGGCTTGCTGGAGCAGAGACGAAGGGGAGAGGAGGAGCTGAGGGGAAAACTGGTTGGGAGGGGTAGTGTTTACATTCAAGATGTCTCCCAAAAACTGGCCCTTCCTCAGATCCTGCCTACCCACCTTTAATTCAGCCTTTGGGCGTATGGAGATTGCGTAGCTCACCCAGGGGATACACTGTTGGAGCCGAGCATCATCACAGCCCGATAAGCGACATGCTTACATGGCTGCTATCTTAGCGGAGGCAACTTTCCAATTAAAAGCATTAGATGTACATGGGAAATAAATCATATCTTGCTCATTTCTCAACTGATTTTCATGCTATTTACTTTATTTTCAACGTCAAAATATGTACTACACACCTGCACCAGTGACCCCACCTAACAGTGGCAGCCCATTAAAAAAAGAAGAGTAGTGGTGAAGATGATGCAGAGTGTGGGGACATGTAGGTTGGTGATTTCATATTCTTGAGAAATAGTTTGTAAGTTTTGGAAATACTGCATTTCACTTTCTTTACCTGATTTTTACTGAGAGTTAGAGGAGCAAAAAGTTTTGGATTATTGAAGCGAAAAAGTCTCAGCATGTCTCTCAACATAAAGTAACAACACAGCAGTTCGTAAATTTCACTGATTGGTTTGAGTTTGGCCAAACAATTGTAAGATTTTAGGAGATTTCATCATGATAAGATCAACTTTGTCCTATCATGAACCATCTAGTTTAACTCAAAGGAAGGCAGCCATTTCTTCAAATTATTGGGATGTTCCTCAAACATTTGTGAGATTTGAACAATTTTTGAATTGAATACAGAAAACCAGACACCACCTCTAAGAGGAAGAAAGTAGAGTACTAGACAGCAGCAGGAACTAAAATAAGGGAAAACAAACCAAGTATCAACCCAGAAGGATGATTCTGATCAAAACACGACCGCAGATTTCCTCCCCATACCCGAAAAGAGAAGGAGTGTAAATCTCAGCAAACAGGTTAAGGACAACAACAATCACAAGTAAACCGGAAAACACACAATTTAAGACCAACATCGACTTATTTGATTCAGTGAAGTTCATTTTTCTGTATGCTGAAATGTTTCAATACTCCATCTTGATCAGCTGTTGCAGAATGAACTTCAGGCGAATAAATCCACAATTTTATTATTTCACAGAACTGTCCAGCAGCACAGGAGTCACCTATCCCTGCTTCAGTCCGGTTGGACATCCAAAGAAGAGAAAGTGGGATGATGATGAAATTTGGAGCTCAGAAAGAGACACTTTGAGCCCAGATAGAGAAAAATGTGAATAAGAAAATTAGAAGTTAGGCTGAGGGAGAGCAAAGGATGAACCCGATGTTTCCTCAAGTGCACTTGTAAAATAAACTCAATTACCGTTACCAGTTTCTTCTTAAATGGTTGCTTGAACTTAAAGCTAGGGTGTTGACTTCAGTATTTTCACTCCAAAGTTATTTTAACAGATGACTTTAATTTTCTTTAACCCTGTCACACACCAATTACAAACCACTGGAAACTACTGGAAATGAGATTTTTCTCATTCCTCCAATTTATGGCTCATAGCAACATCTTCCGATGAAATAGTGCAGGCATAAGACACATTTCCTGAAACTTCAGAGTCACATGAGCACTCAAAGAAAGGAATTTCAGTGAAAATTGAGAGAAAAAGCATGTCACTGTCTGCTTTAAGAGTCAAACTACCTCTGTATTTGTAAGATTGATAAGCAACTGAGCTTGAATAGAAGCTAAGAAGGTCTCCTTTAAAATGAAACCAAACACCTTATTGTATTCACTGAAAAAATACCCTGAACATGAATCTCAACCATGAGCAGGAGATTTTATGAGAGGTGGTTTACTTTATGAGCTGATAACTATGACACAGCTGCCACTCAGGAAAATCTTTCACGCCAAAAGATTAACTAAAATGATTGGTACCGAGAGCTGGTCCATGGACTGCAGTCCTAATGCTTCTCATCTCAGTTATTACAGTGCTGCGCGGGGCACAGATTTGAAGAAAGTTGTTCTTAACCAAAAGCAATGAGTCATAAAAATATGCAGAACTGAGGACCTAAGGGTGCTTTGCATCTCTGATGGTAGCAACAAATCTAGTTTCTCTGCAAAGATTAAAAAAATCCAACTCTATAACTTTCCCCCGACAGGAAAAAAAGACAAGATCCTCCTTCTTTGATTAAGCTTGTTGCCTTGTTAGGGCCTTCTCGTGGGTTAGGAATAAATCTACAAAGGAAATAATGACAAATGTGTTTGCTACTGCGATCCTTAATTAGTCGCAGGAATCCCAGTTGTAACATGTTCTCATTTGTTGTCTGAGGACTGCAAACCTTTCCGTTTGCACTCTTCAATTACAGGGTTTTGATTTCGTCTTGTCACAGCCTGTGCTTCTTGTTTTCTCGAGCTCCCTGTTGTTTCGTTACCATTTATCTCCGTTCTATCTAAAGCGTGTCTCTGTAGCGCACCTTCTTTAACATGAGTCATTTTAAAGCACCTCTTTTCCCCTTTAAAACCCCTGAATTTAACTTTTGAGCACTTTGACCAAGTATAGAAATGGCGGGAGAGACTTACCAGACTTTACAGGAGGCTCAGATCTTGGTCAAATCCATCCAGCGACAGCACTTAAGCTCCTGTCTACCTAGAATGGGAAAAAGTAGTTTGATCCTTTGACTAAAGATCACAGAATAGATGAAAGAAGTGGAGAAAACAGATGGGACACACTGCACTTTTTCAAAACCTTCTTCCAAGGCTTGAACCCTGTCTGTCCTGAGATACAATTGCTAATTAATCTTAAGGAAGGACTTTGTGCTTTTGGGGATAAATGAGGTTTATCACAACTTGGGCTCTGGCCCTGATTTAAAATGTTGTACGGACAAGTTAAATATTTAGATATGGGCATTGCAGGAGTGCTAAAATAGGTCAGAAGAAGCAGAACATTTGCTTGCGTTTGCTGTTGCCTCAAGATAAATTGGTCCAAATAGTCTGGATGAAATGTCGAGGTATCAACAAATTCTCTGAATGTCTTTAACAATCAGGTTTCTTTTCTGGCAGCATCTCTTAAAACTCTCAGTATAAGTTTAGATTAAAGATTGGAAAAAAATTGTTTGAAATGATATTCAAAAAAAAAAGAAAGGTAGAACTTTCCTCTGAGTAAGAGTTTAAATTTTACCTCAGAGTTATATAAACTTGTAGTTAACCAACTCTTCATAGACGTGAAACTTTGATTTTTTTTTTATTTATACCACCAACTTATTCACATACTTGAAGTCCAAACATCATTGAAAATTGAGGTCTTGGAAAATACTTTCAAAGGAGGAGATTTTTGACACTTTTCCCTCGTTATTTTCCGTGTGGATGGAACAAAGTTTTAGGGAACACTGGTATACTTGTGCATGGCAGCTGTTCATATTGCACAGGCATGGTAATCCACAGGTTTGTGTACATCTCCACAGGTTTACGAGAATTTTTTTTTTTCAGTAAATAACACTAGATGTAATGAGTGAAGACCCCTGCAGCACTTGTGGTAATATCAAGTATCCTCCTTTTTTTGTGTTCCCGCGTTTTGCAGTGTTTCTTTTTTTAGAGTACAATCAGATTCCCCTTGTGCACACCTCAGCAAAAACCCTGCTGGTTCCCTGGAACATCCTTCAGCCCCCATCTTCTTCTTCTTCCTCCTCCTCCAGAGACCGACTGTGATTCCAATTATGAAGAAATATGTACAGGAAATCCGCGACTGTCACAGGTCCCGTGGAAATTTCATTTTAATTAATCTTGGGTGGAAATTGGCAGCTCGGGCATCACTACACTCATCGCGGCTCCCTGAAGTAGATCCAATTTTCTGTCTCAATAGGCATTAAATTAGCAAGAACATTCCCACCTTTGTCACCGCGGCACGCATAACAAATGAAATACATTCAGCTACATGACATTATGGATTGCTAATAAATGACCCAACTCGCCAGTGAGGTGCACAGAGTCTGTGGCAGGTAGAAGGAGTTACTTTTGGGAGATTTAAAAGAAGAAAGTGTGCAAGCAGGAAAATCAAGGCTGTAAAAGTTAAGAACAGACTTTACCACCTGACTGTGTGTACACTGCAACAACGTAGAAGGTTCATTTAAAGCTCATGTGATATACTTTCAGTTTATTTTCACTCTTTTTGTTTCTTATAACTATCACACTTAGTAATTATCAAGTTTCTTTGCAGTCGAAGGTGTCAAGATATTCCAGCATGCTGCTTAATGCTTAATGTTGACAGACTTGAGAGTATCAGTGTTGATTTAAGTGAAAACACCTCACAGGAGTTATAAAGCCTAAACCAGCGGGAAAGAATTCAAAGCTATTGACTTTAAAATAAACGGTAATAGCATCAGTGATGTCACCCTTTTGTTTGTTGAGTGGATTTTGAAGCCAATCAGCAGGGGGCGCCACATTGCTAATGCTGACTCCGCCTGACTTTTGGTCAACCTATTAGAGGTGAGCCTTTACCCTCCTCGCAAGTAGCAACAGTGTGTCAGGTGTGCCACTAATCTGCTGATCTTGTGACTTCAGTAACTTCGAAATTACTGTTTTATGAAAAAGTTCCCTCGAGTATTCAGGCCAAGACTGTTTTTGAACCCGGATTTTAACATTTTTATTCATCTGCTAACTAGTGTGGACCTGGTTTCCAGTGCTTCTGCAGCTAGCCTAAAGCAGACAGTTTTGAGCACTTTCGCGTTGGCTTAACTTCTCAAGATGAGAAGTTGCCACTCAGCGCCATCTGCTTTCGATTATTAAAATTAGGTCCAAAGGCAGTTTGATCTTAACTTATTTATCTACATGTAGATCACATATGAGCTCAGGACTGCATCTGACCATTTAGTTTGACTTCAACATCACACCGAGTTCACAAAAAAGAGGATTGCTCTGCGCAGCACAGATCTTAACGTTGGTGCTGGTAGTGTCAGGAAAAAAAATTCCTAAAAAGAAGAGAGTTCCACCGCACCCAATGCAGTCAGAATGCAAACTAATTTATTGGTTAAAAGAACAACGCGTTTCGCCTCACAGGCTTCATCATGCTTACTAAACCAGGCATCACACCAAGTTCGCAACAAGCTCTGTGAAAAATCAGCAAAAATTCATAGGCGATTAAAAGTCTGCATTAGAAAGCTCACACACTTTATAATGTAGCAACAATTCTGAACACTCACACACTTAATGGAAATGTGCCTCAAAGTGTGTGAGTTCGATAAAGCAGAGTTTGGGATTCACTGCAGAGAAATTCACGTTAGCCAAAACTCTAACTAATAATTTGCTTCAGAACGTGTCTCTTTAAGATAAGAGAAACTAATGGTAATTCTGTAAAGTATTTGTTTACCATACAAGCAGACGCTGCTAATAAACCAACATTTTTTTAATAAGTTTCCAATAAAAGTGAAGGAAGAGTGTGCACTTGACTAGTTAATTCAAATATTATTCTTATCTACAATCGTTGGAGCTTTTTGTTGCTGTTAATTGACAAAAGTTTTCTGTGTTGCCGGCAAACCCCTGACTGATTTTCCCATTTGGCCCGCTTTCGATTGAAGATGAACATTCCTGCTCTGTAATAATAAGCACCATAGCCTCGGATTTTTGTGCCTGTTTTTACCTTATGTCTCATTAAGAAGTAGAGTTTTTCTGACTGTTCCTCCCCACCTTTGAGAGTATTTCCGGAGGTTTAACGAGCTTTATATTTCCATGGCTTTCAGACTTCCGAGATATCATTAATGCAGAAAAAGCTTTGCATCTTCTTTGTTTTCGGAAGTCGGATTGTTATCAAAAGTTTCCACCAAACAGAAGACATTTTGTAGAAACAGATCAATGCAGGTCTATATTTAAAAAGTTGGGCTGTATTAATTTCATGTAGGAAAGCTCTTGCAAAAAAAACAGTTTGAGGAAGTATGTTCAATGTAGGAACAGATTAAAATGTTTCAAATATATGGGGACTAAGTTTGAGAGAAGTGGTGGCACTGCCTGAACTTTTATAACTCCATACATGACGTGGCACAAAGGAAAGATGTGATTTTTATAGAGATGACGACCTCAGATATGACTATGAAAGGCAGGGGGAAAAAAAGTGAATCCATGTTTTTTATAGAGATGTAGACACCTCAACTTAGACTATGATAAGTTAAAAAGAAGTGCAGGTCTTATTCTAGATTTATTATAATGTTCATGCACACCACAACCTGACAGGTGATGTGCTTCGATCTCAGTAAGACTCTTGCTACATCAGTGCCTGACTCTTATCCACCCACAGTGCAAGGTGGATAACTCTATACTCTGAATATCTTAGCATACACAGCAGTTACTCTACATTATTAGAGAGGTCTCTCTCTTTCTCAAACCTGTAACGTCTAATTGTCTTGCAGAGATTGTGCGTACACTGTGCTCATACGCTGTCTGCCCACAAGAGTCACACAGGAATCCAGATGGGGGACTTTACAAGCCCTGCCCAAGGCCTTTTGATCTTCTGTCTCTGCTCTCAAATCCCTGTTTTTTTTTTTCTGGTGACTCTTGGCTCAAGGTGGCTGTCTCAAGGCACAGGCGTAAGAGGACACCTCACAAGAGTATCAGAGGGATCAGAGGTTGAAGAAATTGCGAACAAGAGGACGGCAGTGTTGCGCAAGTCAATACATGAGTTGAGAGAAGTACTCAGTGTTTGATAAATGGGCTGACCAAAATGTTAGCAAAAGTACTCAAAAAGTTGCTTTTTTTATTGTTTTTCTACATTCATTGTAGCAAAGTTACACCAACACCCATCTTTAATCTTCGACGTCGATGGAGTTAAAAATGAGGGCATGTCCTCAGTTATTCCTTAAGATCTTATAAATCTTGAATAAATGTAAAGGATGCCTCTGGAAGTATGAAAAATGCTGGATTTGTGGGAAAATGCGCATCTTATTTAATAATTCATGGGGTAGAACATCTCAAATCTGTGCAGACGGGATATATATAATCTTTCATGGAGGTAAGAAGATGTCGAATAACTTTTAATTCACTTCTTACCACAGGATGATCTGGCAAGATAGTCTACAAGAAACCAAAAATTTGAGACTTTGCTGTCTTCTGTTGGGCGGGATAAAATGTCTCAAAGCTAACTTGGTAATTTTGTAATTTGTTTCTATCTTAAGTGAGTGCCTGGTTAAAGTCTGTTTAAGTTCCGACATTCACAATTTAACCAAGAAATTATGTCAAATGTCAATAAAAATCGCAATTTGGTGGTTTAATTAAAAACCTGTATTTTACTGAAAAAAGCACAAAGACAGTAAATCAAATGCTAAAATGTAAAAGTTTTATTGCTCTGTAACAAATACATGCTCATTTAAAAATGATGCCAGAAACAAAATATCTTAGATAGCTCAGGGCTTATTTAGCATTGCTAAGCTAACCCCCACTTTTAAGCACCTGACAAATCTGCGGACAAAGAAACCAGTTTCTTTAGTTTTACCCTCACATACTTTTCAAATCCAGTACCCTCACAGTATGTTCCGGATCAATATTTACCCAGCCCAAGAATTGCCCATGTAGCAACTATTTTCACCCAAGTTCTAACCCCAAATCTATCCAGATGAAATGACCTATGTTACTTCAAAAAATTATTGATTAGTCCTTCCTAAATGTTTAAAAGAGTGGGGAAAGTGTATTAATTAAGTTTTAACACCACTCGTTTTTGGTGAAATATATATTTTGGAGAAGAATATCTATTACACAGGATAATGTCATGTAATATTATGTAAGAAATAAAAGAATATAAAAGTCATAATGATTTTAATATATGATTTATTACAACAAACTTTATATTGAACACTGTCCTTACTGCTTGTCTCTTGTCCCACACTGGTAGATCTAAAATCCATCTAAATAGATACGGGTCAAATTTGACCCATAACAGCCTCAGAGGGGAAAAATGTGTAGCACATATACAAAAATACACATGAATGTTTAATGTTTTTACTGCTGTTAAAAGTCAAAACAGGTCATATTTGATTCAAACAGTTTGTAAGGGTTAAATGTGAAATGTTACCCCATTCTTGCCAGATCTAGGATTTCAGCTGTTTAACATGTTCTGGGCCACTGCTGTGTCATGATATGCTAGACTCTAAGAAGACCAGTTTACCAACCTGGCTTTTCAACCATTAGGCTATGCTGTCTTATCATGCTCTTGCTCCAAAAATGTAACAGTACCTTCCGCTTTGTGTAAATTAGTCGTTCCATGGGTACTAATTCATCCCCATACTGATGCTGCTTTTGAATCGTGCTCTTATAATAAGCCGGGTGGTCCCTCCCACCAGCAGTTCTGGATCATGTTTATTCACAACTTTGAGCCTATGCAGTGATTTCCACTGCAGGGTCATGCCTTCACTCTTGTGCAGAGATTTCTCCAAATTCTCTGAATCGTTTCATGTGACCATATCTCCATATGAATGTAAACCGAGGGCAATGCAAATCATTGTATCAAACTCCTCGGCACATAAAGCCGATTTTTGATCTGGAACGCCATTCTTTGAAAACTAATCCCTTATTTAATTAACTTATGGTTTACAACGTATGAATCATATGACTGTCACTCCTATTCCTGGACTGTGCTCTTTCCATAGCATGAATACAATCGAGAATTGTGTGCTTGAATTCTTGGTGGATGAGAACTATCGCTGCCTTTTCTTTAAACTTCAAAATTCAGTTTGTGGTGCCTCATTTCCTTTTCTGTGACCTCTTCCCTGCTTAGTTCTTTGCAAAGTGTTTGCGTCTCCCCAGTAATGATGAGAGGGATCTGTTTTACCCTAATCCTTGCCATCATCTACCTCTTTGTAGCATTTTAATTGGCTGAGGCTGGCACATCCCTCCAACCCAGCTGTTTTTCCTGCTACACCCCAAAGCAAGCCTAGTGTTTCTCACTAATTACCGCCGCTGTCTGCGCTGATCTGTGACACAGCCCCTCTCCTGCTGAATTACCCTCGCCTCTCCCATTTACAGCAACCTGTCAATATTCTCCCTCATTTTCATACATCAGTGAAAAAAATACCTGAAGTCGAGACGCAGGACTGACCGAAAAATGATGAGACCCACGCGAGACTAATGACTGTTAAAAAGCAATCATGTGGCGGCAGCAGTCTGGGTAGTAGATCTCTGAGTTTTATTGCTAACGCCCGGTCACGCAGCCGCTGCTGTTTAAATGATTGCTATGTAAATCACCTGAAGTGCTTTAGTATTGGAAAGTAGCAGATTTAAGATGCTGGTGCATGTGCTAAGTAGACAGTATCCCGATATTTCGCGGAGGCCTTCATTTGAAGGACTAACTCCTGCTATTCATCAGTGTGTCAGTCTACCCCGAGCTGGCAGTACATTCTCAAGAAGTTCCCTGGCGGAACAAATGAAGTTCTTTCTGAGTCACATATAAAATGCTTATTCTGTATTTCTGCAAAACTAATGTGAAGGATGTCACAGAAAGTTCTGGGGTACTTCTACTTTACCTCTGCCTTTTCTTTCCTTGTTTTCGTCTTAAACCAGAGTTCAAATCTTCCTTTCTCAAACCTGAGGTACTTAAAATGTGAATCTTGGGGCAGTAGTACATTATCTTCAAGATTTTCACCCATCAGAATATCTGTTCATGATTCACAAGTTAGGAAAGGGGTCAGAATTTAAATATCGAGGTCAGTAATTGCTCAAATTTGTGTAAAAATGGTGTCAATACATGATGATTTGCTTACATTTGGTGGAACAGAGGCTGTATGCGAGCATTAGTTCAAATATTTACATGAGATGTCACTGCCCTCTGCTGTTATTTTGACTGTATTACATCTAGAAGTTTGAGGGTCAGTTTATTCACTGTTTATTCGTAATTTCTAGAAATTGAAAGCAGCATTCAGTCATCACAAAGTGAGTCGGCTTTCTCGGTGCATTTATTTGTTGTGGAGTTAAAACTTGTGACTGTTAATGTGCTTATCCCAGAAAACAAACTCCACTGAGAGGGTTGATTGTTTTCTCGATGTAAAATATCTGACTTTTTCAGCTCAAACGCTAACCTGTTTAATGCATTGGATTACTCCCCAGATTATTCAGATTAGATGTGAATTAAAAAGAGTTTTATTTCATTTAAGGATCTGAATCTGTTTTTTTTTTACACAAGAATCGAGATGCCTGTTTGGTATGTTGTTTCGTTATCCATCAGCATTATAAAACCAGGCAGTGTGTGCTGGATACTCATCTCCTCCTACGCCCCCAGAGCTTTGGTCATGAGTCTGCTTTATTCCATGTGCAACAGGACAGATTCCCATCCACACCCTGCTTAAGTAGGAAGTTCATTTCAGTGCAACTTTGTAAACATTAACAAATCACAGAGAAGGTCACGAAGTTATAAAACTGATGAAGAGATTTTGAGGTAAAGGTGATGTTGTTGTTTCAGATGTCACTCAAATGAGCGCACCTCTTCAAATTCATACTTCATTTACTGAAAGCGACACATTTTACCTCATCTTTATTTGTGCACGACTACAAATGCATCGATCTACACCAAAAAGACAAACCTCATTGATGAGTTCTCTTACTAAAACTTGTAAAAACTTAATACCAGATGTTAAAACCACTTCATTTCCCCTCATTCACATAGACGCAAATCAAAGTAAGACAAAGGGAGAGTCAAAGGAGCCCGAGGGCGAGGAGTGAAGGGGGTTGATTAGCAGTCGCTGGTTTTTGTCTTGAAGGCGAGGAAAAGGAAGAAGGAGGCAGACAGTCATATGAACGCGCTCGTACAGCTCCTTTCTAACAACTCCCACTGTGCCTTTTTTTTAACCAAAGGCAAGGATTACCGTTAAGCCCGGGTCACATCTTCTCACATGATCCACTCCTGCCCAAGGTTTATTCACACACATGCACAGACATGAGCGCACACTCGCTAAAAGAGAAAGAGGGGAGGGGAGGTCGGTCGGCTGAGTGGTGGTCACGGGACAATCAGAGCACTGTTCATTCTGTACTCAGAGAGCATTAAACAATGAGTCAAATGGCTTTATAGCTTTATTCACACTTTTGGGGACTAAAGTTATTATTTATTTCAACTGTTCAATTAACTGTATAAAACCATCTCTAACTGTTAATAAATGTAACATGCTTAAAATTCAATATGTAAAAGTTTTAATAGTATGTTTTGATTTTATTTCGCAGAGAAAACCTTTTAACAGACTTCACCTAAAGTTGGCCCCTCCTCTATTTAAATGTGACCTTAAACACAACGCTGTGCAGTTAAAGGTCAGCCGCACTTTGAGTCATTAAAAACCCATGATGGACTAAAGAACAGTCATTCAGGGCAACCATTCGACCCTGAAGTCAAAATATGTCTGCATTGAAACTATTTCAGCATTTTAATTTGCTATTTAATAACATTGGAGAGAAGTACGGAGGCAAATTAGCTTTTAGTCGTTATAGCAACCTTAGCTTGTGATGCTTTTTGACTGAAGGGTAATATGCGGACTCTACATGCTTTAGGAGTGTGGCTGTATTTTTCAATGTACTCCATGAGAATGAGCTTAGTGATAGCTTTGTGTAATCCCCTCGCCAAAATGAAACGTTACATGCATGCTGGAATTATGATAGGCAGCGTGAAGGACATGTGACAGCGTTAAGATTCTTTGCCTTTGACTATGAGATCATAGTAGACGCCGTTTCTCCTGCTGGAAAACTGCTGGATCGTTGTGATGAGGATTTGATTTTTAAATAAAAAATGTGAATTATTTGTTTAAAAGTTCACCTAAAAAGTTTACATCTTATTAAAATATTTACCTGGTTTTCCAAAATAGAAATTTGACCTAAAATTTTAGAGGTCGAAATAGTGGGTTAACTCCTCTGAGCACATCCCGGTATGATAAATTGTATTCTTCAGCTCATACCTCATTAAACAGGGTTCCTATGCAAGTATGGAAAAGTATGGAAAAAAATGTGATCAATTTCCAGGTCTTAAAAAGTATGGAAAATGAAAAATAAAGTATGGAAAAATATTTGTCTCTAGACTATTACCACAGTTTTAAAACACTGTTTTAGAAAAATAGAAAAGTAGGTATTTCAGTAAATAATTCTGAAAAAGTAGGGTATGGTAAAGTATGTAATTACAACTGTGCAGGAACCCTGATTACAGTAAAAATGTGAGATTTTAATAAAACAAATGTACATAAACAAGAATAAATTTCCAAATTTGCACAAATTTACAGTTGTTACTTTGCTTGAGGTCAAACATTTAAAAGACTGTAAGAATAACGGCATAAAGTAATGAGAATAAATCCATGAAAAGCTTTTATTCTTACAAAGTTTTTCAACATCTTTGGTTACTGAGATATTTATGTGCTGATATACCAGAAGATTCACTTTATCTTTATATTTAAAACCTATACTGACAGATAATTTCAGAGGATTCTCCATGTTCAAATTAACATCTAATCTCACCATTCACCACCATGTTGACTCAACTTTGGTCATTTAGACTGAGATGTTTACTTCTCTTTACAATGTCTTTCAAAAATGATCAATTACTTGCAATATTTCACTTTTTTACAAAAGTGAAAATATCACTTTTTTTTTCTTCTTTAATGTGGCCATTACCCTCAGTCTGTAATCGTGACAGAATCATACAAATTTTAAGTGAGGAATATTGAATTTTTCACCCCTGAATTATGAAAAATAAAGCAGAATTTACATTTTTTATGCTAGGTCTAAGTATTTTATTTCCATGCTAGAAGTGGTTTTTAAATATTTCCTAATCATGTAGCTTGTAGGTTGGAAAAAAAATAAAAATAAGGTTTTACTTCTTGCATTTGAATTATTTTTTTGCTTTCCCTGATGTAATATTTTATACTGTGAAAAATCATGAAAATCAGTTAAGCTCAATTACCTCAAAATTGTTTTTAAGCACCTTCTCATTTTCGGTCTGTTTTTGATTCCTTATTCAGTTTCATCCAATCGGTCTTTTTACCGTTTTTGTGCAGCGTGAGTTTCTGTTTTGATGCTTTTATCTTTAACGACTCTAGCATTGATTTTTCTTCCCCATCTCCTTACAGGCTTCTGCCTTCACCAACATTTGATGAAGCGCATTTTCTCCGTCTCTCTCTCTTTGCTTTCTGTAAACTGCAGTGCATCACCACGTTGTTGTGAAAATGCAGCTAAACACCTCTGCTCGTTCTACCCTGTGCCCTCTCTGCAACCTCGCTGTGAAGTTTGCAGTTAACTCCTCAAAGACTGAAAGCCCTTGAATGCTAGAGAGAAACCACCATGTAGATGTCAATCTAGATCATCAACCCCCTGGGGTCTGAACTGTATATCTCTCAACAACAGAAACAACAACAGCCAGTTTAAATTCTCATGATAAAAAAAGTCCTGGAGTTATAGCAGCAGCAGACCAGAATAATCATGATTTAAAGGCTGGTGTCATCAGCACATTTAAATTAATGAACGGCTCTTTCTGTTTTTTAGGCTCCTGCACCTGCAGAACAGTGAAGCACATCCACAAACAGAAAACCCTGAAGGCGACATCGGGGAGAGAATTGAAATGAATACTGCATGGGCAGAAGAAAAAGATGTGCAAAACACGAGAGAGGTAAGTTTTCTTTCGGATTTATCTGACATTAGTTCATACTATCAAATTTGGATTAGCATCTGATCTAAACCTGAGACTAAGGATGGGATCTCTCAAGCATTTTGATTGGTGCACCGGTCATGAGTAGTCTCTAAAGATGCAGTAAATAAAAAGTGAATGATGTCTCCTGTGACTGTGGAAAAGCTCTGAAAAGTGAAAAGGTTGATGATATTAAGTCACGAGTAACTTCGATTGTTGCTTGGAGGCAAAATTGTATAAAGCTGCCTTTCAAATTGGACGAGGGAACCGTGAGAGGAGGTTTATACCAGGCTGCGTCATATACGGTCTTATACAGTCTTATACAGTCTTAGATGCTGGTATGGGTAGCCTGTTGATCCAAACACAACTTCCCTAACCTGATGAATGTGCTGATGATTCAACTATTTATTTTGAGAAGATCTGATCCAAATCCCAGGCCTTAAATTTACCAAATATGTCCTAAAATAAATCATCTTATTGGTTGGGTAGTTTCATGTCCCATCACCTTTTTTTTCTGCTCATGAGATTCTCAGACTTGCTAATGAAGCCAACAGCCAGTTGACTCATAGGGTTTGACTTTATCTCGCCCTGCAGATGGGTTGATTCATGCACTCTTGACAAAGGTGAAATTTGGATTAGATTGAATATGGATTATTAAATTTGTGTTTTCTGCGACAAAAACTTTCTTACGATTCTAACACCAACTGATCACTGCAGTCTTTCTAATACACAGACCAAGTTTGGGAAGTATCAGATAAAATGCACAGAAGGGGTTTGTTGAAGTAATTTCTTTATAAACAGTTTTTATATCGACCAGATTGTTTACAGCTTGATCAAATTTGTCCATATCAGAAATTTTTTCTTTTTTTCTTAATATCTATGAAGACCCATCTTTGTGCAAGATGCTGATATTGTGACTGTTTCACAAGTGTTTCAACTGGAAGGTACAGTTTAGAAATGGCAATATTTGGTGATATCTAGCAGTCAGATTTTAGGTTGAAATGCATGCTCACCCCTCTTTTATGTGACGGTAAAGGAAAAAAAAATTCCATTATGCACAATAAGTATGACCCTCCATTCGTCAAGTTTTTCCCAACAAAATGATTCTTGTTTCTGCACACCAATCACTCTCCTCTTCATCGTCTTCCAACTCAAACTTTCAATCATTTGTTACTCCCTTTTAATGTTGCCTTCTTTCACATACTACTTGTACCATATTTACATTTCTTTTCTTGCTTGTAGTAATAATGACTTGAAATGAATTTTAAAAAAAAAAGCAGCAGCATGGATTGTAAATTCACACCATAAAGCTGTTTGCTGTAAGGCAAACATAAAGCAAAGAACTGTGACACGAATGTTTAGTTTGAAGAATTAGCCCTCAGGGTGAAATAACAGCAACAGTAAAGAGGAAGAGAAAGATCCACATGAACAATCTTTTATGTTATAACTATGTTTTCAAACTTTATCAACATCTTGGAGTTTATTCAAATGATATGAAACATGAAATTCATGTATTTCTTTCCAGTAAGGCTTCTTTTTTTCTGGATTTCTCCCCCTTTTTTATTCTGAAAATGCACCTCAGGTTCCTCACGTGCTCATAGCGGCACACGCGCCCTTGAGGTTTGAGGAAAGGAGGTGGTGGTGTGGGAAGAGGTGGGGAGGGGGGCCTCTGTGAGAAGTCAAATGACCCAAAATGAGATCTTTTTGGCTCACAAATGGACCTCTGAGGCATTTTGAGATTAGATCCTGGCATTTCGAAGCATGGGGGATTTCTGGAATATGGTGGCACAATCAGGACATTCAAATTAAATAGTGAATACAGATATTTCTAACAGTAGTGGCTGATCATTTATATACCACAAATACGTTTTTATGAGCTAAGGGCCTACATTTCTATGTGGTTATATCTCCCTAAAGTACATGATCACACATGAATGCTAATGGCTCACTGAATAGTTACAGTCCTTATAAATTAGAGCTAATAGAAAAGCCTCTATAATGATCAAGTGTGTTTTCTTTTGGAAAAACAGCAATTATTCAGATTTCCTCAAGTGAAATGTTCAGTGAAAGTCCAGTGAAAGTTTTAGAAGGCGAGTGCAGTGCATGATGGATCACACTCCTCTCTCCATCCTCTGTAGGAAGTATGATGTTATGTGAAGGCATCACGCGGGAGTCAGAAAATCCGGGTAGCCTGGTCATGCGCTAATCCGGTATTTAAGAACGACGCTCCACTGATTCGGGGGAAGTAGAAGCAGGGATCTGGGCGCATTGGAGGGGAAGGTTTTTCACACAAGCAGTAGACGGGGGAAGTGATTCTTGATGTGTTGAAGTGGTATTTTTTGGATAGAGAGTAAGCTGTGGTACGTAAACAGACGGTCAAAGTGACCCGCAGATCAGCCGCAGCCGTGCGTAAAAGTTTGGATAATGATCCGGTGCTGCTTTTTGGTTCTTGTGGGCGCTGCGGTGGTGAGCGCCCAGTTCCCCCGAGAGTGTGTGACACCCGAAGCTCTTAGGAGCGGAACGTGTTGCCCGTCGCCCAATGGACTCAACAACGACCCGTGCGGCGTCAGCACCGGGCGCGGACAGTGCGTTTTCATTTCGGTGGACGCGAGCCCGCACGGCCCTCAGTATCCGCACGATGGACAGGACGATCGGGAATTATGGCCCATCCGTTTCTTCAACCGGACCTGTCAGTGTAACAACAACTTTGGCGGGTTTGACTGCGGCCGCTGCAAACACGGGTGGACTGGATTCAACTGTGACCAGAAGGTTTCTGTCGGTAAGTGCGCATGCTTGGTGGAAATTTTGGAGACAGGTTATGTAACGAATGTAATGATGCAGATTTGACTCATTAGAGAGCAAAACAAGAGGTGCCAATGCTATTTCTGTCTTGTTTAGCTGCAAGACTCTTGTGCGTAAAGTTTTCGCTCTGGTTTTTATCGCTTAAATTATTCAGTAAAAACTTTTTTAAAATAAATTTTCCAAAGTAAACTCGTTTAGTCAATGAAAACAGCATGAAAACAACTAATTCAAATCAGTAAATAAGTGAGATAGAAATCTTTGGTAAAAGGGTCTTTGACTGCTGAATTTATTGACCAAAACCACCTGCTGATCACATTTCATGTATTTTTTTCACAGTCGTTAAATTCTGATCCCGAATTAACGCATGACTTATTCACTAATCCACTTTCCCTCTCTGCCATAATCCCCGCAGTAAGAAGAAACGTGATGCTTCTCACCCCGGAGGAGAAGCGTGCTTTCTTGAACGCATTGGACCAGGCCAAGAGCACAATACACCCGGACATTGTGATCGCCACGCGGCACTATCCGGAGATCTTCGGGCCCGATGGCAACACGATGCAGTTCGAGAACATCACCATCTATAATTTCTTCGTGTGGACCCACTATTACTCAGTCAGTAAGACGTTCCTGGGCGCGGGACAGCCCAGCTTCGGAGGGGTGGACTTCTCACACGAAGGGCCCGGTTTCCTGACTTGGCACAGGTACCACCTGCTGCAACTGGAGCGAGATATGCAGGTAAGGCACGCGCTTTTGACTGAATCAGATATGGTGCTGACAGCTTGTTTGTTTAACCTAATGTGTTTCCCCACGACTGTATAAGCGTGGAAATCACCATTGACGAGACAATTTCATACTTTGATAAGTGAGCAAGATGCGATTTCATGGGTTTATGTTCGATTTGATTCACTATCTATTAATTACACACGAGTCAGAGGAGCTTTTAAACTTAACTTCCTTGCAGACTTGAAAGGACGCTCATAAATTCCACATTGTTACGCACAGAATCGGGCTTTTACGCACTCTTAACAGAGGGCCCATTTTGATATCATGATCATGATGACCACATGCCTCAGGTCCTCTTCCAACTATAAAGGAAGCATTGCTGCTTTGAAGCCTGGAATTTTTTTTAGAGGTGCTTTATTTGAGAGGAAATAATGGTGTGGAAAAATACATCTCTAAAGTGTAGATACTCAGTCTGTTATGTGCTTTGATGTCTGGGTAGGGATTCTTGGTCCTGATCGGATCTAAAATAGTTTGGTTTTAGGATTTGGTGACTTTATGAGTACCTGCAAAGCTTTATAAAATACTGACTTATAAAACCTTTGTAGTGGCATGTACAAGTACCTTTATCCTGTATGATTTTAGGGGACTTTAAATAATGAGTTTGCAGTAGAGAGCCATACTTAAACTTTTGCATCAGCTGTTTTATTGGCGCAATAAAATGAAGGCTCAAGCAACTCGCCACCACATTCACTATTTCTCTTTTCAAACCAACCAGGATATGCTGCAAAACCCATCATTCGCCCTGCCTTACTGGAACTTTGCCATTGGCGGAAACCAATGTGACATCTGCACAGATGACCTGATGGGAGCCAGGAGCAGCTTTGACATAAATTCTCTGAGTCCCAACTCCATCTTCTCCCGCTGGAGGGTGATCTGTGAGAGCGTAGAGGACTACGACACCCTGGGAACCATCTGCAACAGTAAGGCGATTGTTTATTTAGCATAGGAGATGTTATAGTGGCGGTATAGCGATTCCTTTTGTTTTATTTAAATGCAGCACAGTTATTTTAGTCTGAAATGGTTCCTTTTCCAGGCACCGAGACTAACCCCATCAGAAGGAACCCAGCAGGAAATGTTGACAGGCCGATGGTACAGCGTCTCCCTGAGCCCAAGGATGTGGAGGACTGCCTGCAGGTTACACCATTTGACACACCACCCTACTACTCCACTTCCTCGGAGAGCTTCAGAAACGCAATTGAAGGTGACTTAAAGACATTTTTTCTTTTCTATTTCTGGCGCAGTGTGACAGCCTTTTCTGACACAATTTTCTCATTGTTACCTGCAGGCTACAGCACCCCTCAGGGGAAATATGACCCTATAGTGAGGACCCTCCACAACCTGGCCCATCTGTTTCTGAACGGGACAGGAGGAACAACTCACCTCTCACCCAACGACCCCATCTTTGTCCTTCTGCACGCCTTCACCGATGCCATATTTGATGAATGGCTGAGGAGACACGCTCCAGGTGTTTCAGCAAATTGTGTCTCTTTTCGTGTCTTTGATGATAAATCCACTTCTCAAAGCAGACTATACAGTCCATGGTTAGCTCTTTGGCTAGCTTGTCTTAAAAAAACTCTAATGTTAACATAGTTAGCTTTAAGGCTAATATCAACTACTTAAACACCTTAAACCTTAGCTTACTTACTCTATATACCTCTTTGTTTCACTCCACCAATGCTATAATATTAAGCACATTTGCTAACCCTAGCTATCTCTACACAGATATGTCCGTGTTCCCTGGAGAAATGGCCCCCATCGGCCACAACAGGGGCTACAACATGGTGCCTTTCTGGCCTCCTGTGACAAACGCTGAGATGTTTGCGACCGCCCCTGACAATCTTGGTTACTCTTACGAAGCTCAATGGCCAAGTATTACACTTTCTAACTTCTATTTTGACTTTATGTTTTTCCAATTTTGTTGAACTAAGATAACAATCATGTCTTTGAACTTCTCCAGGCCAAGCTTACACCCTGACCGAAATCATCACAATGGCAATAGTCGCCGCTCTCGTGGTTGTTGCCGTCATTTTCGCCGCCACCACATGTGCCTTGCGTGCAAGGTCTTACAAGATGGATGGCCACCAGCCCCTGCTTGGGGATCAGTACCAGCGCTACGACGACAAAAACAGCCAATCTGTTGTATAACAGCTTTTCTCTCTTTTTTCCAATAACAAAAATAAGAAGTTTGTTAAAGCTTGAATCTGTTTTCACCGGTGAGAAGGAGCAACATTGTGATAGGAGGTGCTTCATTTACATCCATATATCAAACTCTCATGTAGTCATTTTTTTCCTAAGAAATAGTAGGTCTGCAGATGCGAACAACTCAAACACTGATTGAAGATGCCTTTTTGTAATTGAAAGTTCAAGATATTTGCTGTAGCTTTTACAAGTTTGGTTTGGCAAGTATAAACTTTTTTTAAATTTTTGAGATTTCAGAAAAAAAATGGAAATGTTAAATGTGTTCAAATAAAGCGAACATGGACAACTGAAGTGTGGGTGTGATAGCAATGTAGGGGGGGTCAATGTCAAGAAACTGAAGTTACACTTAGAGTGTCAATAATGAAATACATCTTAATTAACTGCTTAGATTAGCTGTGCATTAGTGTGGTATTAGTTGGTTGTTGGTAATTGTTATTTAAGACACTGCCCATTTAACAGAGCCCTTACAACCACATGGGGGTGCAATAGATCCATTTATGAAGCCTGTCTGGGGGGAACGCTTTGAAGCTTTTTTTTCTATTTGTATTTTTGTAATGGTGTATGAAGATAAATTAATCATTAATTCTAAAAGAAGTACAGAATTAAAACAGAATGAAGGAAAGGATTTTTTTTTTTCGTTTGCTGCCTTTTTTAAAATTAAATTCTGAAATTTTCATTGCTTTTCTGTTTTCACATTTGAACTTTTGACAAAGTGTTATGGGATCTAGGTGCATTCAAGATTAAATATTGCGCTTTTAGACTTGTTTGTTTTTCTTTACTGTATGTGGGTTGTGCGTTTAATGTTTAGACATGACAAATCTCTGTTATTGCATCATTGAAACATTTTCATTGTTTGCCTGTATTGGTTTGGCATCTGTAGGGTTTCATGTATTATGGATACATAAATCAGCCTGCACCAATAGTTCTCATTAGAGGCCACAAAGAGCTGGACTCCATTCTTTTACAACGTCCCGGTATCGCCTCACCTGTCTGGTGTCCGGTTTCATCAATGGGAGGGTCCAAAGGGAGCACGTTCTCATTAAACCGTCTCACTACTGGTCGGGAGTCTACTATGGGAGGTCTGTTGGTGTTTCACTCCTTCGCAGTATAAAGTGCTTTTGGCTCCACACTTTATTCTGTGAGTTGGTGCAACAAAGTTGGAAAGAGGCACGCGCTCGTCACAACTTTGCGCTCCTCTTCGGATATAGCTCGCGCGCCTCTATTTAACCAATCACCGGGAATATCTCCGCGCTCGCGCTGTGTAATTTGCGCCCCTGCCAGCTTCAAATCATAGAGCCGGAACGTGTAATCTTCCCTGACAGCGCACAATGGACGAGGAAAACAACGTTTTCCCTGAGTTGAAGGATATAGAGACAAAATTGGGCCGAAAAGTACCGGATAGTCTCGTTCGGACTCTTGTTGGAGGAAAACATAAAGAGCAACATGAGAAGTCGACAGCGACGCATTTAGCGGACTGCAAGTTTTGGAATAAATCTGCGGACTTGAAAAGACTGGAGAGCAAGATGCTGTTCCTGAAACAAGAAATGGTAAGCAACTTTGGCTTTTGGGGGGTATCATTGGCTGAACTTTTTAGTAGTTGATCAAGTGTTTATGAAAACAAAGGTGCAACTTGAAAAATCACCTAATAGCCTTTAACACAATCATCACGTGCGGCGCAGTTAAATATTTAATCCAGTGACGCAATTTATGTTCGTTACAAGTTGACCGGCTAACTACTGATTTATTAAGAAATGTAACTTCAGACTCTATGTAAAGCCATATTCAAACTAGGTATTACCTTGTTTACACGTTTTCCGGAATTAACATTGTAATGTGTGAACTTTCTCCACTGTATGTTGTTGTACCAATGCCCATAGTCACAGGAAATGCAGTGGCAGTCTACATATCAACACGTGGTCGTTAAATGCAAAGTTTCGGTGTTGCCATCAAAGCCCTGTGAAACCAGTGGTCTGTTCTTATTGATAGCCATTCACACCTCAAGTCAGCAGGGACCATTGTTGATGAACAGCAGTCTCCTCCCTCTGTTGTTATTCAAACTTCTCCCTTAAGTACATTTCTACCCTTATAAGTGCCTTTGTTGGCATGGTTTCATCTGTGAACACCCAGCATTAAATGATCCTCAAATATCATCATTGAGAAACCAAGTCTTGAGTCACAGCAAACCCTCCACTTGAAGTCAGGTCACCAAAGGTATTAAGACTCCTGAACAGATGGTCTGTTTGACCGAGTTTTGCAGACTGCAGGCTAGTGGAGCTGAATCATGGAGAACAGGCTGGCTGATCACTCAGTGAAGCAGTGTTGATAGGCTTAGCTTTGTTTATGTTAGCCTACACCACAATAGGTACCCGTCTATCACTGGCTCATTTTGCAGTTGTAAATTTAACACTTGGCAGGTAATCATTTATGCTTATTAATCAGCCTTGTAGGACTGATTGTTATAAGTCAGTTGGTTTCAGTGTATTGTAGCCCTTTAATGCCTGACACCACAATTTTTTTGTGTCTGAAATGAATCACTCAATCCCTAACCCCTAACCCCTAACCCCCATATGCGGTTTCACCAAATAGCTGACTATGTAGTGAGCTCAATCACCAGAGGTTTCGGACACTACATGGCATGACGCAATGCTTGACGGGATGCCCACCACAGACGAGTGACCATCGGATGGTCACTACATTTTGTAATGCTCTATGGGAAATTTTGAGTCGCCTATATGGGGCATTAGAATTGATAACTCGGGTTTCAGACACCCCTCAAAATGGCACTAACCCCCATATAGTCGCCTTTATAGGGGTTAGAGGTCCATTTCGGACACAGCCGAAATATTTCTTTCACTTACTACTGAAAACCGAAAAAAAAAATAAAAAATCAAATTGTCCTTAAAATCAAACAAATATATTCATTTATCTCGTTTGTTGATCATATTGATTTGATAGAAGTAAATAAAAGTATGTATCAAATATGGTAAAAAAGGCAACAAAGGGTTAAGATTTGACCCTGCTACTGTGCCACCTGTAAGAGTATAATTGCTAATCCAGACTACAAGACTGTTAATTTTTCACTTTACACTATATTATTGACTGAAATCATGTATGGTAGTTGGTAGCAACAGTTGAGTACAGCCAGTAACAATAAGTTGTCAACCATGACAGATAATCTTGTTAAGGCCGATGCAGATAACTTATTATATATTGCTTTACTGATATGTTTTTCCATCCCAAGGTTCGAGCCTATCTTAAGAAGTCAAGTGTACTGTTCCCCTAAAAGGTTGAGGACAAGCTCTGATTAGTCTTGTCTGATAAGTTAAACATGTTGTCGGTTTACACCAAATCATGCAGCCCTAATTGTGCCCCTAAACCCATTTTGTGATTTGGACCCACTGATGCCATCTTATTAACATGAGATAACTCCTTGGACTAAAATTCCAATATGACTCCATCTGCTCAGCTCCTATGTATATATCAAGCGGGCAGTAATGCTCACAAAGCAAACACACCGACAGCAATAGAAGCTAAATGAAGGATGCAAGCTAATCCTCTCCAAATACAGCCAGCTGTCTGAATCGCCGTGCCAGCCTTGTCTGCTGTCATCTGCCTCAATGCTTTCCGAACCTTGCAGGCTGTTACAGCTGTCTATTAACCTTTTTTTTTTCTTGGTCTGACTGGGAGCTTTGAATGACACAGGCTGCCCACATCCACCACCAGTCAATGGCATGGATTGTCCTGACAGGGAGTTAAATCAAAAGCCATACTGTGTTGGTCCTCTCATCGCTCAGAATCATGGATGCAAACAGTTTCCTGGCTTTAGTCCTGTTTTCCGGTGTCACATAGTTAAGGCTTTTTGTTCACAACAAAGCCTGATAGTCTAAACAAAATAGCACATAGTGTTCTGGCAATGGGAGGACACAAGAACGCTCACAGAAGTTGAGAAAATACAACCACCACAAGGATTATTTAGAAGCTGAACTGAACCTTTATTCATGTCACATGATCGTCATCTGCAGATTGAGATTGCCGATTTTTTTACTGTATAATAAATCTTCATAATTCTCTTTTTGCAGTGTCTGAGTAAGCCCTTGTTCAATCTGCCTGTGACTCGTGGCACGATGTGAAGCTTTTAACAGCTACTTACCGTACCATGTGGTGAGATTATAGGACTCTTGTTTGCCTGGTCCGAAATGAACCTTGCACCCTTTTTTCTAAGAATAAGTTAGCAATGATGCAAGTGCTGGTTTTGCATTATTCATGGCCTAAGTTGCCCTTCTAGTGCCATACAACATACAGTATTTGTGGACCGCACAGTGACATAAAGGGGCCTCCTAGAGATTGCACAGTAGTGATAAACCTCACTCAGGTTTCCACAGATCAACCAGCTTCATAGAGGGCATTTTTGCTCTTCTTTGGAGAAGAACTGAACAGAAAAGAGTCTGAAGACCTTTATAGCAAGCCAAATTGCATTGCTCACATTATATTAACATTATCACCCCCATGTTCTCATCCGTTGTGAGTTTCCTGACTTGTACTTGTTGCATTCACATACAAGTTTGGCTAACTTCTTGCAGATATTCGACAATAGGCCACCAGGGCAAAATCTGGGTAAAATCAGAGTGGATAATTTAGCCATTTTTGTTCACACTTACACCCCATCCTGAAAATTTTGGGACATTTTCAGGCGTTTGGTGTATGAGTAAATACCGCCTGCTTTATAATGGAAAGTTTAGGCGAGTATTAGTTTGCTAATATCACTCAAAGATGAATTGTGTTCCCCACAATATCATGCTACCTCTTTTCAAATGGCGACTGATACAGGGCCAGTAGCAGATAAGCACGTTAAACTATAATCCATAAACGTAAGGTAACAACCGAGACCTAATGGTGTTGTGACAGCAACGTGATTGAGTTTGAGACAGTGAAAATACATATGGTATGTTGTATTTAAACAGGTTAGCTTTTGAGCTAAAGTTACTTAGCACAGATGAAAGTTTAAACAAAGACGTTCACTAAACTGTTAAATCACACAAACCATCGTAATATGAGAGATCAGACGCTATGACTCTCCACAAGTTGTCCTTCAGGTCGTTATCTTTGTAATGTTTGTGTTTTTTATCAAAAAGCACTCTGTACTCTGACACGTAAACAATCAGCTGGTCGGCCATGTTGGATATACCAGTGAATCAGACGTCGCAACAGCACGCAATCTGATTGGTCAGAAGTGGACACACAGTATGTGAAACTTCAGAAAAATTGACCGTGATACGAAAAAAACAAATTCCGCAATATCGCAGGATGGGAAAACGTCGCTGATGTGAACGCTTGTATTGACAGGATACGGATTCGATAAAAATATTGACGTCCGAAATAATCGCACGAAAAAAACGGTCCCAGTGTGAAAGGACCTTTAGTCTGCCTAATGGAGCAAAGGTTTTCTGTGCCACTGTTGCAAAGTACTCGCTCATTTGTACGTTAAACTGTAATTTTCTTGTTACACTAAGAGCACAGTCTCAATTTTCTTTGTTAATATCAGTTGCTAACCTTTTGTAATTTTGTGCCATATGGATAAATAGTTTTCTCCGCTTTACAGGCACATCTACGAGCCATCGATGGAAAACTGATGCAGCAGCTGATGTCAATCAACGAGGGCATTGAGTCCATCCGTTGGATGATAGATGACAAAGGAGGCGTGGCCAGCCAAGACGGCAGCCTGACAGGCAGCTTGTACAGCCTATCAGACAGCCAGGACGGTACCTCACTGCGAGGCAGCTTTAACAGCCTGAATGATGGGAACAGTGACGGGTTAGACAGTCTCTCCGTGGGCAGCTACTTGGACACGCTAGCAGAGGACCTCTCAGACAGCGCGTCGCCTACAGATCTGGACAGTTTCATGGAGAAATCGGTTATCGACGGTGACGCTTTCAGTAAATCTCCTCTGAAACTCAGGGTGGAATCAGATGAATACTACTGTTTTGGATAGTCAAAGAGAAATAACCGTGGTTACAGAGACTACTGACAACTGAAAACATGTTCTCCTATTTGACCCATTAACACAGCTGTCAGGTTATTATTTTTCCCACATGCTTCACATTCTCTCTGTGCAGCGACAGCAAAGATGTTGGCAGGACTTGGCTAATGACTCATGACACCTCTTACCTTGAAACCAGTTTCAAACACACCTCATGAAACCATTCCTTCTTAATGAAACAATAATTGCAGTGAAACCTCTTAGCAACTATCCTTGTCTTAATGTCGTATTATGTAGGTCAATTAAAATGGGTGCTCCTATGTATTTTGAAACTAACCAGTACCTCAACCCTTTTTTTTTTCACAGTGAAGAGTACATCATAGTCTAAAAATAAAGACAGAGGAGTAAATAGAAGTAGTGATATCAGCTAAGGAGCAAATTTTCCTCTTAAGTTATCAAAAGTTCCCTCTGATTATGTGTTTGGTCAACCATAATAAGCTGATCTGAGTAAAGGAGAAGATAAGGATTTAGCCGCAATTTGGAAAATTGGGCGTTTCATGCTGAGCAATTGAAGAGATTAACTTTTTGAGTGGCAAAGTGATAAGTTTAAGAGTTTCAACAAGTGCAATTTGTCAATCTGCCAAATTTTGAGCGCCACCTACTGTAAATGTTAAGCTTTTAATTGTTTTTACTTTCATGTTTTGACTGATGGAGATTCCTGAGCTAAACCCCACTCTGCTGTGGCGGAGTTTACATATACACAGAGAGATTAGCGACACGTTCAAAGCACAGATGCTTGACTGAAAACCAAAGCTATTTGATTGTCTTATAGATAATTTAAGCCCGGGGGGCAAAACCTTGTGAACAGCAGATGGGAGATTTGTCAGCGGGGGGGACATTTGTGAAACACATGTTTGCTTTGTAGGCACATTTTAAGATTCTGTCACAAGAGCTTTACATTGCTGTGCATTGATTTCTGTTTCTCCTTACATTGATTTGTTTTACATTTGTACTTCCTCTGTTCTGGTTGATTGCTGTTAATTTTCTTGTGGAAGTGAATTAATATATTGTGATTTTCCTCTGGCTCACGTTGTGTAAGTTTTTAATGAAAAGAAACACGCTCAAACTGCCGTATTATTCTCAATTTTGAGAAACTAAACCGGTTCACAGACCCCATTACGAAATCTTAATGGGATGGAAAGTGAACATTATGGCGGCTTCCTTTTTTGGTAAATTTAACTTGGGCTTAATCTCTCAGTAATGGAGTCAGGCTTGTGGTGCCCCTGTGTAATGTTGCATAGATAATGACCCTCGTTAATTTTACTCCCTCTCCGTATCACTTTCCTCAGATAAAAACCAGGAAGATGATTCTAAATTTGGAAACTTTTGTGCTTATTTTTGCCCTTTAAAGTTCCCTGCCTATTAAAAGAATGAGATTTTATGTGGTAGTACAGACTGCATACAAAATATAATCCTTAACGAGGTTTGTGAAAAGTTCGCGAGCATCTATCATGAGTTCATAAGCGATCTGAAACGAACACCAATCAAAAATGAGACAGACCTGGAATTGAAAGACCAGGCTTTTATGCTATTTTCAGTTTTTCTGCTCCTGCCTTGCTTCTTATCTTTCATGCAATAATTAAAGTTCCAGACAAACTATACAGGGAAAGTCATTATAGGAAAGATGAGAAGCTCGGTCTCTTTGGCTTGCAAATGAATGCATGGCTACAGGGCACGCTATGAGGAGTTCTCAGACTTGGATCTGACAAGACTTTGCTTAGGACATGCTGCCTTGTTGGATTAGTCTTAAATTATTCACTTCTTTCTCCTGTTATATGGAACTAACACTCATGAAATCATGTATGAAGAGTGTTTTTGAAATCTCCTGGCTCAAAATAAGATAGGACACAAAGGATTTTTTATCCCCGCACTTAAAGTGTATTTGTAACTTTGTCTTACTTGAGGAGCAAAGCAGCTTTATTTGGTTTCATGCTGCAATTTCCTTATCTCTACCTCCCAGAGGCTTTTGGGAGCTTAAGCCCCCTGTCAGGCTGAACCAGGCCACTAAACCACAGAGCTTTACAGATGGCAGCATGACCTTCTCGTCAAATTTTCAATTAAAAACACAAAAAAAGTTCTCTCAACTTTCTCCAAATGTCACCGCCTTACAAAGGGAACCATGTCAAGTCTGGCTAATATCCCTCAAGGAAAATGTTCCGACGAAAGGTGGTGGCCTTGAAATAATTGGACACACTGAACAGGTTGTGTGAGTTTCTGCTGCAAATAAGCATGACTCAAAAAATTCCTCAGAGCGACATGGTACACTTCACAGATACAGAAGTTGCCTTTCTCTCACCTGAAAGTGCTCATTTCTCACATGAAAATGAGAGCGAGTTGACATAGCCTCTGTTGTTGCAATGAGTGCCATGTCATACCAAGTTATCCAGTCACACATTTACAGTTTACACACTTCACACTCTGAGTCACAGGCTTCAAACGTTAACCATATGACACTATCTGTCTCATTTTTGGCTAGTGCACCATAACTGAATCAGTAACTTGTAATTTAGGCTGACAAGATGAATGTAGCATTTTTACATATGATAACAAAATTTGAAAAAAAAAAAAAAAAAAAGTTCCTGAAAAGAAAAAAGTTCCACCGCACACAACATGGTCAGAATGTAAACTTATTTATTGGTTAAAAGAACATGTTTTGCCTCACAGGCTTCATCAGGCTTGTGAGCCTGTGAGGCGAAAGGCATCATTCTCTTAACCAAAAATGAGTTTACATTCTGACCATGTTGTGCGCGGAGGAACTTTTTCCTGACACCACCAGCACCAGCTCCTTTTTGTATGCTTTGAAAAAAAAAGATGTGGCTTTCATGTTTTTTATTTTTCTTTAAGTATTCTTAAAAAATGTACCGTAAGCTGAGGACATTTAAGATCCCTTTTGTAAATTTTGTATGTCTAAAATTGGAGACAGCATTGGCTCAACTAAAAAATTAACATTTTGAGTGCTAATATAATTGAATTGACCCCATTTGCTCAGAAAGAAAAATAATTTGTCTATGTTTCATGGAAATCTGACGAATCATGTCTAAAACAGTTTTTTGCCTTTAAGGGCCTGTGTCCACTTTGAGCATTTCAGTGCTTGTAGGGCCTGTTTTCTCAACAAAACTAATGCAGCCCAACATTTACAGCGCTAAACTTAAAAAAATTCTCTCAGCTGTATTTTTGTTGTTGCAACAATCACAAAAATCAGTCAATTGCTCAACATATGGGACACTGCTGGGCTCTTCTCTGTAAGTAACCAATTAAATTAAAAAGGGGCGGGGCTTCTGATATCAACTTTGGCATTAATCCAATTGATGGTCCTACAGAGAAGAAACAAGCTAGCAAGACTCAATTTTTAGGTAATTATTCCCAGGTCCAGAGCGACTGCTACTGCAACTACTTTGACATGATTCATATCAACTGCTTTAATGTTATCTTTGCAAAATTTCATAGAATAAAAACATAAAGAACAATTTAAAAAAAAAACTTGAGGGGACAACTTTTATAAACACAGCAGTAAACACCAGTGAGAAGTGCTCTGAAAATGAGGTTGTAGGCACTGCAAGCCCAAAAAACGCAAATGGTGGACACAGGCCCTAAATCAGTAAAGCATGTAAGCATAATAGGATAAAATGCCCACTAACTGTATACTACTTTATTCTCACTTATGAATCTTTGATTTGCAAAACTTGTTTTATTTTCTTAAAGTTAAAAAAGCAGTTGTTTAAGAATAAAAATGTCATCCTTAGCCGAGTAGGTAAGTTTTATAGCTACAACTTCAATTTTCCATCCCTCTAAAACTTGGTACAAATTACAAGACATGTAGTCCAAGCGGAGAGGGGATATGAATTTATCAGAGATAGTCACCCTGTTCAGAAGGTGAATGACACCCAGGTTTCCAGAGGCAAACAAGGGTCAAATTAATCTCTCGAGTTAGGGTTCACAGTGCAAAACAGTGATATATTGACTGTACCGCATCCTGCACATACGTTTGGGACAGCAGCTTCCAGCAGGGATCCATTAGCCAATTAGACACTGTGGTTGGGCCTGTGCCATGAGATGAAACCAATACCGTCTGGTATCTGGGAAACTGTCACCATGCTACTAAATGAGGATACAGGATATGTGGTTACTGGAGATGGTTTGAGGAGGGGATCAAAAGAGCCAGACAGGAAGCAGATACCACAGTAAATGTACACCATTGTCAAGTTACTCCATTCAGTTTAATTAGGATTTCTTTCTTTGGGCATCTGGTGTGTTTCACAGTAATCCAACAGCCTTATATAGACTGGAGAAATCTTAAAGCTTTACTGCCCTCTTATAGAGTCGTGTTGAACTCAGGAATAAATGTTTGGTCGTTATGCCAGGCGACCATCTAAGGCTAATGCATGTGATGGATGACGCACATTAGATCCACCATGTCTGCCTTATTGCATTTCCAGACATGAGGAGCTCCATGTTGAGAGATTTATGAAGCCGTGGCAAACTTAATAAGGCTTTTCCCCTAGCATGAATATCTTGTTTCGCTAGGGGAAAAATGCTTAATGAATGTCAAGTTTAGCCGCAACCATAATGTTGTGCTTTACATGAGATTTTCTTCACTGCTGATGTGATGATTAGCTTCAGACCTAGCAAAGACTTTGTGATTACATAAGTGGCAGTCAAAGAGGTCTACCTCTTATGTCAGGAAAACCTCCATTTCTGGGAGCTTAAGTCTTGAAGGAGCTCTCTCTTTTGGCGTGTTTCCAAGATGTTGAACTCTGAATCCCTTCTGAAGAGCCTCTTAAAACTTCTCCGCTCCTGGGAACCGCTGCGCCGAGCAGACACTGTGTTCATCAGTGCAAATATTAAACATTAACAATGACCGCCTCCGCTCTCATAAATTAGCTAAGCTGCGATGTCGAAAAAAACAGCCTTTGGGAGCTTCTGTAAACATCACAAGGAAGGTATCTGAGAAA